GCGGGCTGGCTGGTGGTTGGATGGATCTGGACACGGCTGTGTGCGCAAATGGCCAGGGGCTCCAGAGGCGGCCAGCAATGGTGTTGACCCCGTGGAGCCAGCCCAGCCGGACGAGCGCTCAGCCTTGCTGAGGCCTCAGTGATGCTGTGAGCTGACCCCACGGGGACTGGGCCTGGGTGAGGCCTGACTGTTGGGCTGAAGGACAGGAAGACAGGGGAAGAAACAGGCCGGGCTCCCGGCACCTCCCCGGGGAGGGGCCCACGGGGCCTGGGCCATTTGCAGCTCCCCCTGTTGGGAACCCTCTGCCGGCCCAAGGGTCACCCCCTGCCCCGGCCAGATGGGCCCCAGAGAGGCGGGGGGTGGTCACGGAGGCCCGTCAGTGGGCCGTGGAGTTGGACCACCCCTCAGCGCCCACTGCTGCTCTGGGACCCCCAGCAAAGGGCCTGCAGAAGAGGGACAGACATTGGACCCGTCAGAGACTGTGACCGGGCGGGCTTCGCGGGACAGCGGCCGTGAGGGGCGTGAGTGGCACCTCTGCTTCGTGCGGGACAAGCACGCAGGGACAGTGCTCCTCCCTGCGGAGTGCCCTGGCTGGGGCCTCGGTGTGGACGGGACAGCTGCGGTCACGTGCCCTGGGACAGCACCGCCAGCAGAAGGGCCCAGAGACCAGCTCGGGGTGCTGCACTCCCTTCCCTGGCGGGAACTCGGCAGCTGGGAGGACGGTGCGCCCCCCCGGCCACCCAAAGAGGGTGTGCGGTGGGGATGGGTCTCTGTTTAGAGACACAGCCTCCTGGAGTGGCAGGCCCCCCGGGGTTGGGTCAGACTTGGGGTGGGAGGTGGGAAGGACCATCTGGGGTTAGGTCCCAGCAAGGGGCGGGGTGCCTGTGCACAGGGGCCGGATTACCTGCCCCACTCGAGGTCCATTAAAATGACAGTAAAGACATTAGGAAAACCAAAAGTGCTTGAAGGCAGAGAGGAGGGAAGAGGGGCCTTGCAGGCTGGGAAAGCAGAGCCCACGGCTGAGGGCTGGCCGAGCCTGGCTGCAGAGCCGGGGAGGCTCCAGGCTGGAAACAGGGCCTTGGGGAGGTCTGCGTGGGTGGGGACTGAGACCCTAGGTGGGGAAGGGAGGATTCCTTCCCTACAGACAGACAGACTGGTCTTCCAGGCCCCTGTTACCCACAGTGACGTCCAGGAGGACGTTTCCCAGGACTGAAGGACATGAGCACGCCTAGGGAGTCCTGCCCCATCCGTCTGTCCTGCCGACTCCTGGATGCTGTCAGGGGAAGGTCCCCCAGGAGGAGAAGAGCAGTGTCCTACCTACAGTCGGGCGTCAGGTGGTTCAGAGCTCTCAGCACCAACGTCAGCAGCTGGAAGGACCGTCACCATCACATACCTGGGGACGGCCTCTCACCTGCAGCCCGTGCACAGCCAGCCTTCCAGCCGAGGCTTAGTGCCCAGCGAAGACATTTCCAGACAAACAAAGACCGGTCAAATGCCCCTCCCTTGAGTTCTTCTCACGAAACTCGTGGAGAATGTGTTCCTCTAGCACCAGGAGGAAAACTGAGAAACATGAAGGCTTACAAATCAGGAAATGCCGGATGCACCAGGAGAGAAGATGGGGAGGGAGTCCTAGTGCAGCAGCTGTGCCGCCGGGCTAGAGAGCAGCCATCCGGATTGAGGCGGGCGGGCGGAGGCCCGAGAAGGGGTGTCTCTGGGAGCAAGGGCAGACTTCCAGGCTTGTCTGAACATCCTGGGGAGGTGTTAGGGTGCTGTCAGAGTCCTGTTAACGATGGCCTTGCAGGAAATCCAGCAGGGAAGAGGTCGCGTTATTTTTTCTTTAATCTTTCCCCCCGTTCTTTAGATAGGATAATTTCTGTTGCTCTGTCTTCAGACTCACTGACTCTGTAATCTGCCGTCTCCAGTCTGCGGCCAAGCCCAATCAGTGGGTTTTGCATTTCAGTTATTATACTTTTTATTGGAGAACTGCCATTTAGTTCTCTTATGTAGTTTCATGTAATTTCCATTTGTACCTCTCTGTTTACTCGTTTAAGACCATATTTCCCTTTAACTTTTTGAACATGTTTTTCACTCATTCTTTGCACAGTTACAATAGTTGTGTTAAAGTCTTTGCTAAATTCAACCTGTGAGCTGCCTTGGAGTTGCTTTCCATCATGTGCTGTCCTGTATTTCTCTCCCCTTGAGTGTGGGTCATATTTTCCTCTTATTTGCAGGTCTTGTGACTTTTATATTATGTACTGAACATTATAAATGTTACACTGTAGAGACTGGATTGTTAACTTCCGCTGAAGAATGTTGACCTTTGTTCTAGCGAACAGTTCATTTCTAGCTGATTACCTTGAACTGGGGGGCACGGCTTGACATTTTGTTAGGGTGGATCTTTATCTTGGTGGGACTCAACATGCAGAGTGTTCCGTGGATTTTTTTATTTCTTTTTTTTACTGGCTGCATTGGGTCTTTGTTGCTGCGCGGGAGCTTTCTCTAGTGGCGGCGAGCGGGGGCTACCCTTCCTTGCAGTGCGCGGGCTTCTCATCGCGGTGGCTTCTCTTGTTGCGGAGCACGGGCTTTAGGCGCGCAGGTTTCAGTAGTTATGGCACGTGGGCTCAGTAGTTGTGGCGTGCAGGCTCAGTAGTTGTGGCACACGAGCTTAGTTGGCTCCGTGGCATGTGGGATCTTCCCGGAGCAGGGCTCGAACCCGTGCTCCCTGCATTGGCAGGCAGATTCTTAACCACTGTGCCACCAGGGAAGCCCTGTTCCACGGATTTTATTGGGGCTTGGTTTTAGATTTTGGCAGAGTTGGTCTGGGGCAGGGCTAACTCGCCACCGTCGCTGGGCTGGAGCCCAGAGTGTGCAGCATTGCTTGACTGTTAGTGCCCCTGTCGAGCTCTCGGCCTGGGGACAGCTGCCTCTGGGAGCCCTGGGGATCCTGCATTGCTCACCTGCACTTCTGGCCCTGAATGACCCCTCCAGCTGGTGCCCTGGCTCGCAGATGCGCGGCCTCCTCCTCCACCGGAGGGATGCTCTGCTCACCAGGTTCCGGGTCATGATCTTAGCTGGGAGGTCACCCCCAGCTGGGAGCCGGCCCATCCCTGGGCCCCCCAGCCTGGGCATCACCCGTCGTGCACAGCCTATTGTCCAGAAGTCGGCCGCCTAAAACGTGTCTGGTGGACGTTGTCTGCAGTGGGAGGGCCGGCCCGACACCAGTTAGTCTGCATGGCCAGAGCACAAGTTTGGAGCAAACTGAACAAGGCAGGAAAGTATCCGGAGTTCACCCAGCTCAGTCCTGCTCTGCTCCTGTCTCCTGCAGATAGCGTGTCAGCAGAAGACGCTCGGAGAGCTGTTTCAGGGGCTGTCGGGGTTTGGGGGGCTGGGGCATGACAGTGAATTCTCACCTTGAGCTTGGTCAGTCAGGTGTAAGACTGGACACTCAGGAAACAACCGTATCAGCGTGTTAGTGAGAAATGCGAATGTAAATGTCCGAAAGCATAGCTAAGAGCGTGTGGGAGTCGGGGAGGAGGAAGCCCCAAGGGCTCGCCCTCCAGGCCTGTGTCAGGACTCGGGTTTACACAGGAGGTGCCGTGTGTGTCACCGTGACATAAATCACACCGCAAATGAGGAAAAACTAGACCATCTCCGTAAATGTGGAAAAGTGTCTTGTATAAAATACACGTTGGCAGGACCCTGTTGGCCGCCTGGGAATGGTACCACTTTGTGGCCAGCCTGGATGATTTGGAGCTGGGTGTGCCCGTGTGGGCTGGCTCAGGGGTCCTCATGGTGGGTCCACCCCTGAGGTTAGTGCTGAGTGTCCTGGGTCCAGCCGGGGAAGCCGAGGCCACCTGAGCCCCCACCCCCACCCCAAGCACAGAAGTGGGCCCTGCGTGGCTGCCTGTCAGGGTCCGTTCCCTTCTGTGTGGAACCTGCAGTCTAACTGTCCCTCTCCACTGGTCCCTTGAGCAGCTCCCTGCCTTCCCCTGAGGATGGACGCCGGAGACCCTGCCGGAGATGCCGCCGGAGAGCCTGCTGCTGGTGACACTGCCGGTGACCCAGCTGGTGGTGAGTGTGTCCCCATGGGTGAGTCTGCACCCCGCACGGCCCAGGTCCAGCCTGGCTGCACTTGTCAGGGCTGGGCATGGGGTGGGTGTGGGGGGGCTCTGTGTACAGGTGCATGCGTGTGCACCGGGCGGGGACCCCAGGTGGGAGGTGTCCAGGCGATGTGGCTTTCTGGGGGCCTGGGACGTGTGGAGCGGCCTCAGTTGTGGATGGGAGCAGGCAGGTGGCTGCTACCACGGCCTTCCTGTCCTGAGGGCCGCGGGCGGGCACCTCCCTTTGCCCTGGGAAATGTGGCCTCGTGGTCCTGCAGTGGACCGCCTCCTGGCCACTTGCTTCATGTCTGGCACCGAGGGTTGGCCATGACTGGACGGACACTTCAGGGAGCCCACACTGAAGTGTGGGTGAAGCTGGGTGCAGGGGGCTGGTGGGAACGGCGGGGTTCTCTCTGGAGCCTGGCTCTGCGCCCCACACCAAGTGCGGACACAAGGCATCTTATCAGTCCTGCCAAGAAGGAGAGAGGACAGGGGCGCTGGGAGGTGTCTGAAGAGTGAGGGCCCCAGACTGGCGCTTCCAGCTTGGGAGCCCCGGGATCCCACATGGTCCCTGGCCCCAAGAGAGCGGAGGCTCTGCCTTCCGTTTCTCCTCCGGGAGCCCCGAACTCCTCGCGGTGGTGTCTGTGGGCTCCGGGAGGCTTTCTTTCTGAGTGTCTCCTGCGTTTGGTGAGTGTTGTGGGCAGGGCAGACGCGGGGCCACGTGAAGCCTGATCTCACCCCACCAAGGACAGGTGGTGACGTGGAAGAGGAGACCAAGGCTGGAGAAGGAGGGGCTCCTCCCAGGCCGGGATCGGGTGTCCGGTTGGAGAGTGGGGCGCCCCTCCCTGATGGCCCCTGGCATCCTGGGGGGCCGTCCCTGTGCCGGGCTGGGGTCCTCTGCTCACCCACCCCAGGGTCCTGAGAGGCTTGTGGAGTCGGCCCCCCGTCTCCTGTGGGGTCCTCCGAAGGTGCACACAGCCTGCTCCAAGCAGAGTCTCCGGGGGGATGTCCAGGCACCCTCAGCCGCCCACAATGGGCTTGTTTTCTGCTCAAGATTCCCCAGACCTTCAGACCGTGCTTTTCCCCACCTGTCCCCAGTGTGCAGAGTCTTCAGGACCTGACACCACCCTGTTGGGACTGGGGATCAGACACAGCCCCTGGCCTGCTGTGAGGGACCGCAGGCCAGGGAAGCCCTCTTCAGTGGTCATCTCTCCACCAGGATCTGGGTACCTCCCCCAGGATGCTTCTGGCGCCTCTGCTGGTTTTGCCAAGAGCAGGACCCTCCTCACCTGTGGCCCCCGGACTCTGACACCCGAGGCCCCAGGGCCTCGGCTTGTCCTGGACCATCTGGATGCCACCCTCCCCCGCCTGTCCTGATGCTGGGGGCAAGAGGGGAAGGAACAGGCCGGGGAAGACCTGTGGCCCTTCCCTCCCGTCCTCCCCTCTCCTGGGAACAAGAAAACATTCCCCAACTGAGAAGTCAACTGGGCTCAAAAATTGGTTTTCTCCTGAAATCATGGCCTTTGGATGAGCAAGCATAGCTGAATCAGAAAAGCTGCGGGCTGAAGTCCAGCAGGTCCCAGGATCTCGGGCAGCAGTGGATCCCCCTTCCTTGGGAAATTCGGAAGTCAGGCAGACAGAGCTGAATCACTGCTCAGCATGGAGGGAGGGGCAGGCGCGACCCTCCAGGAAGCCCCATCCCCGCCCCGCCACCCCTCACAGGCTCGTGCAGTACCCGGAACCTCCAGGCCTGGCCCTCCCTGTGTCAGGGCTGGGGTGGGGGGCCCCCCAGCCCCTGGGGCTGTGGAACCATCCTTGGGCTGTGGCCTGAGGGAGGCTGTGAAAACAGGCAACACAGCACCCACCTTCCTGGCTGTGTGACCTTTCTGTTTCCTTACCTGAGAAAAATAGTTGTTGCCCTGTACTTAGCTCCATCTGTGAATGAAAGACTGCCTGCGTGTGGGCTGTGGAGGCGTCAGCTGTGATGCTCTTTAGTCTTTGACCCGGTGGAATTTATTTTGCTGGGAGAGGTGAGGAATGGGTCCAGTCCGTCCTGGAGGACCACTGGGACACCCAGCAACACTGAGCTCCCCATGGGTGGAGTCTCCCCGGCTTTCTGCTCTGTTCACCTGCTGCATCACGCTATCTGGCGGCGGTGGTTTTATGACCTGCTGCATCCGGCAGGACTAAACCTCTCGTTGCTTCTCTCTCGTTTCTTGTTTATTTTCCATGTAGACGTCAGGATAGCTTGCTTGCTTCTACAGAAATCCGTTGCTGTTTTTACTGGATTTCATGACATTTATGGTTGACCAAAGAGGCATCTGACGCCATCTCATCCCAGTGTCAGGCAGGACTGGGGGCTCACAACGCCTTCCCACAAGGTGGGGTCTGCTTCTGCCCTTGAGTGGTGCTTCCCGAGGCCTTGCCCTGGGAGCTGGGCTCGGGTGTGTGCCTGAGGCCCTGGGGAGGAGCCCGTCTAAATTCCTGACCCACAGAATCTGGGATCCTGAGAGATGAACCACTTGTTTGGGGCCCGTTGCCTTTCTGTCTATTCTTCTGTCTTCAGCAGTGCTTTTTTTTTTTTTTTAATTTATTTGTGTATCTTTGGCTGCGCTGGGTCTTCATTGCTGCGTGCGGGCTTTCTCTAGTTGCAGCGAGCGGGGGTTACTCTTCTCTGTGGTGCACGGGCTTCTCATTGTGGTGGCTTCTCTTGTTGCGGAGCATGGGCTCCAGGCGCACAGGCTTCGGTAGGAGCAGCACGCGGGCTCCGTAGTTGTGGCTCGCGGGCTCTAGAGCGCAGGCTCAGTCGTTGTGGCGCCCGGGCTTAGGTGCTCCGCGGCATGTGGGATCTTCCCGGACCAGGGCTCGAACCCGTGTCCCCTGCATTGGGATTGGATTCTTAACCCCTGCGCCACCGGGGAGGCCCCGAAGTTTAATTCTTGAGCTTGAGTTTCAGTGTCCTCTGGACACACTGCTGCCCGCCCGCCCTCACCCACGTGCTCCTGGGGTGGTGTCAGGGGGCAGGTACCAGGCCAGAGGCCACCTGCCCTGCCGCCCCTGACCTGCCCTCTGGCCACCCCTGGCCAGCAGGTCCAGGATATCAGGGTGGCCCAGTCCCGGGCCCAGGGTGGGGAGGTGGCAGCGGTGGCCAGGCTGCAGCCACGGCTGATGTCCACCCTGTGTACAGAAGGCCCCCGTGCCCGCCCTCCTAGCTCAGCCCGGCCTCCTGTGGTGCATCCCTGTGTCGAGGGAGCGGGACTGGCCCACTCTCGGCTGGCAGGGTGGCCCCGGGCCGGGCACCCCGTGCTCGATGAGTCCTCCTTGTGCCGGCCTTTGGTGCCTGCTGCACTCAGGCCCGGGCCCACATTCACACCGGCCCCGGGGCCCCTCCAGCTCCAACTTGGGCTTCCCGGGTGTCTGCCCATGGCCACGGAAGCTGGTGACCTTGTCTGCGTGTGCAAGTCTGGCCTTGGCACGTCCAGCAGTCACTATAGAGTGTCCCTCAAGGCCTGGGCCACGGCCTTGAACAGGGCCAACATGGTCACCGCCGGGAGCTGGCAGCATCGGGAGGGGGCAGACAGCAAACCCGCATCCCACGTGCAGTGTCAGGTGAGGGGCCAGGCCGGCGGGTCAGCGGCGCTTGGGCAGCGGCTTGAAGGCCGAGGGTGTGAGTGACCGAGGATGCAGCCCGGCCTGTGGCTTGGACCCAAAAGGGCACTGGGCCTGGGGGAGCCGTGAACAGAGAGCAGCCTGGCCCAGCCTGACCCTGTCAGACATTCCTTGCACTGGGCGTGGTCTGTAGGGCCCAGTGGGGAAGAGGGAGACCTCTGGCTGGCGCCTGCTAGGCCCTTTCTTTTGGTAGGAATTCTTGACTTAACCGTGTCCCGAGGTCATCGAGGTATTGTGCAGGTGCCCTGCGGAGGCTCTGTTGATCTGTCTTCACAGTGAGACCTACAGCCCCTGGTGGGTTTTCTGTAGGTGTGAGATGGGGGTGACATCCCAGTGTTTTCAATAAGGTTATGCCGTTTCCCACACTGGCCGCACACCCTGGCCTATGCAGGCCCAGTTCCGGCTCCAAGTCCCCCCTCCCTGGGCCACACGCTCAGCCTTAACCCCTGTGGCTCTGGCCTGGGTGGGGCGGTCCTCTGGTTTCCCTGTGGTTGTTAAGATAGTCCCCCCGCACCCACTCACACTGCTACTGTTTGGGTTAGAGTGTGGGGTCTGCTGATTAATTTGGGGAGAATTGACAACTTTGCATATTACTGATTATACGGTATAGCCCGTCCTGAATCAGGCCTTTTAATTTTGTTCTCAGTGACGTTTTTTTTTAAATTTATTTATTTTTGGCTGTGTTGGGTCTTCGTCGCTGCACGCGGGCCTTCTCTAGTTGCGGCGAGTGGGGGCTCCTCTTCGTTGCGGTGTGCGGGCTTCTCATCGCGGTGGCTTCTCTTGTTGCGGAGCACGGGCTCTAGGCACGCGGGCTTCAGTAGTTGTGGCTTGCGGGCTCAGTACTTGTGGCTTGTGGTCTCAGTAGTTGTGGCATACGAGCTCAGCAGTTGTGGCTCACAGGCTCAGTAGTTTAGGCGCACGGGCTTAGTTGCTCCGCAGCATGTGGGATCTTCCCAGACCAGGGCTCGAACCCATGTCCCCTGCACTGGCAGGCGGGTTCTTAACCACTGTGCCACCAGGGAAGCCCCTCTCAGTGACATTTTATATTTTTTGCATGAACTTCTTTTGTTACATTTATCCTAAGAAATTTGAAATTTCTTATGTTACTGTACCTGATATTTTTTTAATGTTCATTTCTGTCTGTCGCTAGTATGGAGGGAACAGTGGACTTCTTCTTTTTTTTTTTTCCGGCCGCACCAAAGTGGCTTGAGGGATCCTAGTTCCCCAACCAGGGATTGAACCCGGGCCCCCTGCAATGGAAGTGCAGAGCCCTAACCACTGGACCACCAGGGAAGCCCCAACAATGGATTTCTTAATACTGTCCTTGTGTTCACCATCCATGCTGAAATAAGTCCATTGAGTAATTCTAATACTTGTCTTTAGATTCTTCATTGCTTTCTAAAAAATGAATCATTTGTTCAGTGCATAACGACGTTTTGGGGTATTGTTTTTATTTTTAAAGACTTTATTTTTTAGAGCAGTTTTCGGTTCACAGCAAAATGGAGAAGAACGTGGAGATTTCCCATCTACCCCTGCCCCTTCCACATGCACCACCTCCCCCGTTATCACCATCCCTACCAGATGGGACACTTGTGACAAGTGAGGGACCTGCCTGGACACGCCATCATCACCCAAAGTCCGTAGTCTACCTTGGGGCTCACTCTTGGCGTTGTACGTTCTGTGGGTTTGGACGATGCAGAGTGACATGTTACCTACTACTGAAGGTTCACAGAGTAGTTTCACTGCCCTGAACCCCCCATGCTCTCCTGTTCATCCTCCCTCCCCCAAGCCCCCGGCAACTCCTCATCTTCATACTGACCCCATAGTTCTGCCTTTTCCAGAGCGTCATAGAGTTGGAATCATACTACGAACGTAGTCTGCAGCCTTTTCCGATTGGCTTCTCTCACTTAGTAATCGGCATTTAAGTTTCCTCCCTGTCTTTTCATGGCTTGATGGCTCATGTCTTTTTAGTGCTGAATAATATTCCATTGTCTGGAGGGACCAGAGTTTATTGGTCAGAGTGCTGATGCTTTTATTTTTTCCTTTCTAAGTTCTGTGGCCTTAATTTTTCCTTCTTGCCTCTCTGCACTGGCGTCGAATGCACAGTGGGCATCCTCCTGGTGTTTGCGTCTTAGGGGAAAGCTTTCAGCATTGAGTTCTGTGTTCGCTGAGGGTTTTTTATAGGTGCCTTTTGTCTGGCTAAGGAAGTCCCTTCTCTTCTAGTTTGCTGAGTTATTTCTTAAATTATAACTAGAACTCTCCCTTAAGAGATGCTTGTTCTGCATCTATTGAGAGCATCATGTGACTTCCGTCCTTTATTTCACTAGCGAACCAGGCTGATGGACCTTCAGTTGTCCAGCCAGCCTTGCTTTCTGGGACGGACCCTCCTGTGGTGTACACGGGCGTCTCTCCCGGGTCCCTGAGCCCGTGTGCTCGGGGGCTGTCCCCCAGGGTGTGGCTCAGGTCCCCAGCCTTTCCCTCCGTCCCGCCTCCTGCATGGAGCCAGCAGGTTGCCGTCGTCCCCCTGATTCTTGGGTAGGTTCACAGGTGAAGCCACCTGGGCTCCTGATCCCCCAGATTTGGCCGGGAGAGTCTGTTAGTGGCCTCCCCTGCCCCAGTGTGTGCACTGATGATCAGGTCCTGACTCTGACGCCTGACCCCGACCCACACCAAGTGAGGGCATGGCTGGGGTCCTGACCCCTGACCCTGACCCCCACCATGTGCGAGGTGTGGCCGAGGTCCTGGCTAAGTGCCAGGGGCTTCTCCCACTCCCTGGGCTGGGGTCGGGGACACGCTGGGAGCCCAGACCCCCCTTGGCTGCTTTCCTTCCGGTCCTCCCTGGGCTCTGGGCCTTGGCGCCTGCCGGTTCTGAACAAAAGGACCAGAAGGCTAAGACTCCGCGCTCCCAATGCAGGGGGCCCGGGTTCGATCCCTGGTCAGGGAGCTAGATCCCGCATGCATGCCGCAACTAAGACCCGGCGCAGCCAGGTAAATAAATACATACATACAGTGCGGTCATTCAGCTTAAAAAAAAAAAGAACCGGAAGGTTTGTCTGTAATTTCTCAGCGGGGCTGGAAAGGTTACAGCGCCTGGGCCTTTGAAGCAGAACTCGCAAGGCAAGGAGGGGCTGGGCCTCAAGGCTCGGGCTGCCTTAGGCCGGGGAGGTGCTGCTGAGGCTGGCAGGGCTGCGGTGAGGCGCTGGGGAGGAGGGAGCCCCGCCTGGAGTGCAGGGAGCCTGAGGCCCAGGGGCGGGCCCGCAGCCAGGGGGCGCTGGTGGCCATGGGCACCTTGGAGCTGGGTCCCTGGTCCCCTGGCCTCGGAAACAGCTTTCTTTCGCAAGCCAAGAGCTGGCAGCAGCGACCTTTCCAGGCCAGCGAGCTCTCCTTGGCACTGGCCTTGGATCTCGCCTGAGGGCGCCGACCCTTTTCCAGCAGGAGGGTGACCCCGACCTCCCCTGTCCCGGCCAGCACCGGGCTGAGTGGCACCTGTGTCATGACTCCACGCCCCGTTCTGCAGCAGGGACAGCGGCTTCAGGGAGCAGTGGCCATGGGGGTGGGGAAGCTTTGGGGAGTGGCCAGCCTGCATGGGGCTCACCCGGGGCCGGGACAGGGCAGAGGGGAGACGGGGGAGACAGAGGCTGGAACCACCTCGGGGCCTCGGCAGGGGCCAGAGGCCAGACATGGTGGGTGGTGGATGGGTTTGTGGGCGGCGTACCCCGCTGGGCGGGCCTTGCCCGTGGGGGGCCAGGTCAGTACTGCTGACTTAGCCCCGGCGGCCGACGCCCCTTCCCCACTCACACGGCCACTCTGAACCCACCGCGGCTTAAATCTGAGGCCAGGCTCCCTGAGCTGTCAGGGGAAGCCCACCCCGGTGGGCACTGCGGGAAGCAGCCCTGCTGGGTGGCGGGGCCACGGTCCTGGGGAAGGGGCAGAGAGGGCACAAGGGGCCGTGAGCGCTGGGCAGCGTCTGCGGGAGCCCCCAGGCCTCGGCCCCCGCCTGCCCCTCAGCCCCTCCTCGGCCCTTGTCTTGTCCCCTCAGGCCGGGACCCGCTGCTGTTCCTGCAGACCCTGCAAACGCTGTGGTCCACTCGGGAGCTGGGACAGGTGAGCCCTTGGGGTGTGGGCACCTGGCCGCCAGCCTCGGCAGGCTGCCGTGTCGGAATGTTCTGGGGGGTGCATGGGATTGGAGCCGTGGGACGAGGCCTGCTGGACGCTCAGAGCAGGCAGGGAGGGCCTGTGCCCACCACCAGCTCTCCCAGAGGGGCAGCAGGACAGCCCGCCTGGACAGCGGGGAGGATGCGTGTGGTCCGGCGGGAGGAGCTCTGGCGGGGAGGCTGCCAGGGTCTTCCACGGCCACTTGGGGGTCCTGCAGTGGCAGCTGCCACTGCCCAGACCGTGTCCCGCCGTGACCTGTGCCAGGGGGACAGCTCTGCCTCGCGGCCCCCGGGTGTGGTGCAGTTACTGGCCCTCGGCCGCTCCTTCCCTGCACTTTGCTCCCTTGAGGCATCGAAAGGGCGAGGGAGGCTGCCCTGGCTCCTGGGGAGGACGGGCCCACGCGTGGCTGGAGGGAGAGGGCCACATCCTCTCGTGCCAGCCTGGCCTTCAGCTGCCCTCCGAGGGTGGGCAGGGCACCCAGACCTGGGGCAGGCTGGTCGGGCAGGCGTCCGGAGCAGGTAAACTCCAGGCTTCCACAGTGCTGCGTGGTGGAGGAGGGCCGGCAGCCGGCCTCCTCTCTGGACAGGCCTGGGCTCCCCGCCTGGCTGAGCTGCGGGGCCTTGGGCAGATAGCGGCCCATCCACTGCCTGCGCTCAGGCCTGAGAGCAGCCGTCTCTAGCCATCAGCTGGAGAATCCAGAGTTTTTGCAAAAGCCAAACGTTTTTTGATTTTCCAGTTTCGTGCCGTGTGGCTTGAGGGTGAGACTCAGGCAACAGGGCTGTGGTGCTGTTCAGCCTTCCAGTTGGGAGCGGGCTCGTTGCGAGGTGGTATCCTCTGCCCTGGTGTCACGGTGAGCCGGCTTGTGAGCTCGGCTCGACCCTCCATCCCTGTTCACTGAAGGCAGGAGCCAGAGGCCCGCAGAGCCTGAGGACGAGCCGGGCGCTGCCCCGGGGGCGGCGGGGCACGGGTGGGGGGCCTGCAAATGAAGCCTGGGGGCGGTCTCCCTAATGGTTGTTCCTGGGCAGAGTGTCTGTCTCTGGATTTATTTCTCTGGGAAGCGTCCGCTTCCTCCACGTCACCACGGTTTCGGCCGGAGGTCCCTCCCGGTTCCTGACCCCCGCGTCTCCCGGCAGCGCTGCCCCTCCCCCGGCCTTGTGCCTCTTTCCCGGGGCTGATCTCAGCCTTCAGGTAGCCGGACGCCCAAGGCATCGGTTTCCAGGAGTCTTGGTTTCCGATGCTGCATTTAACGCCGCACCTGCCCCCCGAGTTCTGTTCGTCACCGCTTTGATGTGTAGGGGTCCATCGTCCTTCCTGTTTTCTGATTTTCGCCGTGTCTCCTTCAACATTTCCAGAGAAACACAGGGCTGCGTCTTGATGTCGCTTAGCCGTTTGTTTCTGGCTGTGAGGGAGCCCGGTCCATCTGTTTTGGTTTTCGCACAGGACAGGCTTGTTTTGTGGTTAGTTATATAAACACTCCGAGTTCCCTACTTGGCGAAAGCTCCCGCCTGGAGGGGACACACGTTTGCTCACCAGGGCTTGTCCTGGGTTCCTGTGAGCAGCCGGCACCACGCTGTGCAGTCCAAGCTCAGACGTGTGTGATAACCAAGGGGCCAGCAGCTGGAGATGCGGTGGTTCGAGCCCTGAGGACGAGGGTGCAGATGAGCCAGAGTGTCCTGGGGGCCAAGGGAGCAGCAGAGGGACCCAGGGGGCGGCCGCATGAGAGCAGCTGGAGCCCAGCAGAGCACGTGGAGTTTTCAGGGAACGGACAGGACAGGGAATCTGGAGACGAAGGGGAGGCCAGAGGGCAGGAGGGAAGGAGAGAGGAGGTCAGCCAGGGTCTCAGAGCCAGGGGTCCGGAGGATCGTCGACATGGACGCTGAGCCCACCACGCCAAGGGCAGGGGTAGCACGGGAGGGCGACACGGGGCCAGACGTAAACCCCTGGGGCCCAAACCTGGTGCGTGAGTTCCACCCCAGGGCTGCAGCTACCGCTCAGGGCCACTTGCGTCTTATTCTTTACTTAGTTTTGATTTTTTTTTCTTTTATAATTCTAGACATATTTATATTCTATTTTCATCCCCAAACCGATACCTTACTGTTCTTTACTCTTAGAGCTTTGATCACCCTGCTTGCGGTCACCATCATGGTGAATTGTTCCTTGTGTGTCCTGTTGTTTTTCATTGTGAGCTCACCTTAGTGCAGCTTTTTCCCTCTGGTGGCTGAGGGCCAGGTCCCCAGGGCCGTCCCCAGGACCAACCTCCTGAGCACACATGGAAATAAATCCAAATCCAAAGGCCAGAGCTGGGTCCTTCTAGACCTTTCCTTTTCCCAAGCAAGGGGTGTGGTGCTGATGGAGACCCCGCCCCCTCCTCGGGCAATGCTGGACGGTGGCCCCCAGGCTCTGTGGGAACCGCAGCCCCCTGCTGGTGCCCTTCAGACCCCTGAGAGGTGTGTGTGGCCTTGCCTATCCATCCTGGAGGGTGACAGCTGTCCTCAGGGTCTGTTTGAGGCCATCTCAGGTGAGTTCCAACAGCCAGAGCGAGGGCAGCCCCTTCCAGAGAGCCCTTGGGTGCGAGGGCTTCGGCCCCCTGAGCTCACACTTGACACCTGCAGGTCCACCCTGGGCCGGACCCCAGCAGGTCCTCGGTCAAGGGAGCCGCAGTGACCTGAACCACTGGAGCGGGCAGGGCGTGGCGGGCTGGCCGTGCACAGGGCCCTGCTGGTCACGCAGAGGACGCCCGGCTGCTCTAGAGACGGTGGTGAGATGCATGTTGTCCCCCTGGACGTGGGTGTTGGGGACACACCTGTTCTTGTCTCTGTCTTGCAGCTCTTACGTGTCCCCCAGAGCTTCCCAGCACAGGAGGTAGAAAAGTAAACAAAAGGCATTTTTCAGTTGGGGTTTTTTCCTTTTTTCCGTCTCCTGTTGCTTGCTGGGCCCTGCTGACCTGTCACCGTCTCTGAAGGGCCAGCGCCATGTCCCGTGCGTGCCACGCGGGTGGTCAGGGCACAGAGGAGCTCCGCCCAGGGTCTGGCCTGGGGAGCAAGCCCCAGCCTTTGCAGGACCATTGGCCTGGACGGTCCCTGAGCCCGGCCTGGGTGCAGCGGACCAGGAAGGTGTGGGCGGCTCCGTGCGGGTGGGGGAGGCCGGCAGGAGGACTCAACACAGCGAGGCCTTGTGTCTCCACAGCTCCGGGAGGAAGCCCAGAGGGGATTCGCCGCCCTGGAGGACCCGCTCGCCGCCCTCCTGGACATGCTGGACAGCAGCCGGGGCTGGCGGGGGAAGGGCCCCTCCCTGGAGGCCTGGGTCACCCGTGAGCTGAAGCGCTGCTTGCAGGCACAGCTGTGCCCGGGGCTGGCCCGGGTGAGCCCTGCCCGCGGCCCACAGCCTGCCCCTTCCCAGCCCGTCCCGGCCTCGGCACGGGCTTCCCACGCGCACCTGGCCGGGCCCCTGCGGCCTGTGGAGGTCGCCCACGGTGGTCGGGGGCTCTCGGCCTCCCGAGAGCCACACGCCGGGCCGACCTCGGCTCCCTTGCCTGTGCCCCTGCCAGCCAGCCCCTGCTCACCCACAGCGTCCACCCACTGGCTCTGGGCTGCCAGGTGCTGGCCGCACTGGGCCTGCCCAAGCACCAACCCCCCACCCGCATCAGGCCCCGCGACTCCGGTTGCCGCCTCCACTGAAGCTGGGTCTGGGGCCTCCAGGGCAGCCCAGGGCTGAAGCAGCTGCAGGCCCGTGCGGTCAAGCTCCTCGCCGAGAGCCCCCCCGGCCTCATAGAGCCACTGGTCAGCATCTTCCAGCTGCAGGACGCAGACCGGAGCCCCCTGCTGGCTCAAGTCCACCGGCTGCACCAGGAGGGCAAGTTCAAAGAAGTGAGTGAGACCCTCCCTGTGGCTCTGGGCCTCTCGTCCACGGGCTGGACCTCCACGTGGGTCAGCGGGGTGGGCAGGAGCCAGGCTGGGGCTCGAGGCGCCGAGCCCAGAAGTGTCCCCTCTGCCCTCCAGCGTGGGGGGCCTTGCAGGGGGCCTCATGTCTGGTGTGCAGGCTTTTGGGGACCAGCTGCTCTGGGGACCATGTCAGGTTTGTGCCTGGTGTGGCGGCCCTGGGAGCCCCTCGCGCTGACCGACTGAGAAAGAGGCTGGGTACAGCCCCCCACACCCTGCCTGGTCTGCACCACGCTCAGGGCCCTTCCTCCCCAGGTGCCCGCCGGCCTCTCCCCCTTGGTCAGCAGCGTGGGGACGCCCAGCTCTGGCCCAGAAGCCCGCGTGGCTGCGGCCCAGCTCCCTTTGTTAACTCCCAGAATTGCTCTCCGGGGGGCTGAGAAGTGCGGGTGTGGGAGAAGCTAGCCGCAGTCTCTGTGCCCCGGGCCCAGATCAGACCCGGGGCCCGCTTCTGTCTTCTCCTGCCCCTGCCCAGACTCACCCAAAGGTCACTTGGTCCTGTGCTGGCCTGGGGGCAGGGGAGCCGAGGCCCCTTGGGGCCCAGCTGCTGCTCCATGAGGACAGACCCTCCCTGCGTGGGGGGCCCTGAAGCCACGACCACGCCAGGCCGGGGGACTGGCCACTGTGCTCTAGTCCTGGTCGGTAACAGAGCACGTGGCCGGGCATCTGTAGGCTGCGCTCGGCCTCCCGGACCTGTCGTGCGGCCCTGCCCCAGAGCCGGGGGCCACGCTCTGGGTGGTGCCCACCCCTGCCTGTTTGCTGGGTCCCTCGGACTGGGTCGGGCCAGTGGTGGTGACCCTGTGAGGGTCTGCGTCCTGAGGGCCCTGCTGGCTCCAACCCCAGGGACCGGCCCCGGCACACCTGTGGTTTTCAGAAGATCGGTTGTGGGGCATCGTGCCGGCTTGGGGCGCAGATTCTCAGCCACGTCAGTCAGGAGTCCCCAGCGTGTGCGACGCATGTGGGTTGGGGGCCGCCCGAGGGGGAGGGCGTTTTGCTCCCTTGTCGTGGGCAGGGCTGGGCCAGGAGCGCAAACGTGGGGCTTAGTGGCTGCAGGTCTCTGGGTGGGAACTGGGGGCTTTTGGAAGCTCGGTGGGTTTGCTGAGTGTCCTTCGTGAGCAGCAGCGGTCCTCGTTGAAGCCCGGAAGGTTCTGAGATGCAGCGGGAGCTCTGGGGTCCTGGCCCAGTGTTCACCGCGGATGACCCGTCTGCGGCTGAGGTCGGGAGCGGCAGGGCCCACGGGTGAGCAGCAAGGGGGCGCTGTCAGCGAAGCTCTGAGCTGTGCTGCAGGCGCAGGGGGCCCTGGGCTCTGCGCACCCCGAGATGCGAGACACGCGATGCCCTTGCAGGGCAGGGGAGGTGGGGCAGCCCCGGGCGCCCGGCTCAAAGGTGCCCTCTCCCTGGGTGGTGAGTCCAGCACCCAGGGCCCAGAGGCTCCCTCTGGGCTCACCTCCCCCGCTGCCTCGTGGGGCCCAAAGTTTCTGGCGCCAGGGTGCCAACAGGCGTGGGGTGCGGCCGGCACCCAGGCGGGTCCCAGGCCCACCCCACACGGGGCCCTCTTCCTGGTGAGGAGGCCCGTCGGAACGGAGGTGTGCGGCCCAGGCCCAGGTGGAGGATGTGCTGCGCGGCCACGATGGCGGCGCAGGGACCGGGCGCCCGGCTGCTCGGGGCTCGGCCGGGGCTGAACGGGCGCCGAGGCAGAAGGCGGGCTGGTGTGTCGCGTCTCCTGTTACGCTCAGGCCTTTCAAAGAGCGTCTGGGCGGCCGAATGCGCCTCCCTTGCGCTCTGAGGCAAGACTTGCACACAAAGGGGGCTCTTGTCCCGCACAGGCCCCTCGTGCGAAGAAAGGCCATTGTCCCCGAGCGGGGCGGCCCGGCAGGCAGTGCACGCTCCAGTGCCCACCGCCGCGCCGCCGAGGGGCCGCCTTCAGGCCTGTCCGCTCGGATTAGCGGGGACTCACGACTTAATGCGCTGCGATATTTCATGTCGAGGGCGGCGGCCGGCCCCAGCCGCGTGAATGCCTGCTTTTGTCTGCTGCATTATTTTATTTACATTTTTTAAACAGCTTATCAAGGTAAAAAGATAGCTTTGCTTTAAAAAAAAAAAAAGCCCCTTGGCTCCAGGCCCGCGCTGAGCCGCCGAGGACGGAAGGCCCGTCCCGGGGCCCGGCCGCCGGGTCTGGGCACCTCCCCAGCCCCCCTGTTGGCCGAGCGGGCAGTCGGGCGTCCGTGCAGGGCTCTTCCCGCTGTCACCGCCCCAGCCCCTCTGGTCTTCTTAGTTACTTTCCCCCAAAGCGGCAGCTCTGGGGTCCGTCTGGTCAGAGGTCCCTGCAGCCCCACCCTGACCCGGCTGCAGGGCAGCCCTCTTCTCGGTGGCTGGCTCTCAGCCTCCTGGGCGGAGGTCAGGGAGGCCCGCAAGGTGCCAGGTGGGCCCAGCCCTGGGCAGTATCCATCTGCAGGTCCCGGCCACTGCCCTCCTCCCATTGGGCCTGCTCCCCGGCCTGGGTCTGGAGCCAGTTGCAGGCACCTGGGCCAGCAGGCGATCTTCCTGCATCCGCGGGGCCCCCCACGTGGCCACGTGACCGGTGGTAAGCCGTGGGCAGCCTGGCCTGCTGGCCCCTCAGCAGAAGCTCAGACTGAGAAGTGACCAGAATCCAGTTCTCAGCCAGGCCCAATAGATCCAAGGTGGAGTCCAGGCCGGGGGCTTCCTAGAGGAGGTTCTGCTGCCAGGTAACCGTGGCCGCCCCCGATGGAGTTAGGGCGCCCTCCCGTGGCCGGGTGAGGCCAAACGGTCCCCCTCCTCGTCTTGTGCCCCCCAGCCTCCAGGCTACGGAGCTCCCCAGGGCTGCGGGGGCAGGACAAGGGCACTTCCCAGACTGTCCCTGGGGGTGTCCATGGCCTTGCAGCCCTGGATGCTCTGGCCACACCCCTCAGTGTCCACGCAGGCTGCCTGGCCAAAAGAGGGCAGCCTGGGTGCACAGAGGCTCCAGCCTGGCCTGGATAGAGGCTGGCTGCCCTGGAGGAAGCAGGCAGAGAGAAGGGGACCCAAACCCTCTGACAGTGTCGTCCTGTGGCCAGGGCTGTGCACCCCTCATGGGGAGGGGGACGTGGGGGCGCCTGTTGAGGAGCTGGATCCTCAGACGATGGAGGCCGACAGCCCAGCAGAGTGGTGAGAAGCAAGGGGCTCACCTCGCTGCCCCCTCCCCTCCCCACTCCCAGGTCACTGCCCAGGGCCTGATCTGGGGGGTAGGAGGGTCCCAGGCCCCCAGTCGTCCCTCCCACGGCCCCTTCTCCAACCGTGGCATGGCCCGACCAAGCCCAGGTCCAGATGTTGGCCCTTCAGTAGCCTGGAAGCCAGGCAAGGGTCCAGCAGATGCAGGACACTGGGGACAGGGTTCTGAGCACCCCAGGTTCTGAATGAAGTGTGCGAGGCCGCCAGTGTGGGCACTCTGGCCTTCTTGGATGAGGGTCCGGATCTCCCTCAGCTTCTCGGGGGTTTCCCGTCCAGAAGAGGTCGGTGCCATCCTGTGAGGCTGGAGTGGTGCCCAGGAAGGCCCCCACGTGGTGGCACCTGCGCCCTGCCCGCAGCCCTGGGCCCCTCCCCCAAGCCCTGCACCCTCTCCTCAACCCTGGCTCCTTCCCTGGCCCCGCCCCAGCCCCTCCCCCATTTCTGCTTTATCCCCCTCGCCCAAGCCCTGCACCCCCCTTCCCCTGGCCCTGGGCCCCCTGGGGCCTGGCCGAGGCTGAGCTCCTGGACACCGGCCAGGCCGCGGGGCGCCGGGTCAGTGCCGCGCAGGGAGAGGCCCCCCAGCCCCGCGCCCCCGCCGCGCGGTCCAGGCCTCCACCGGAGCAGCCTTTCCCAGGCCGCTATTTTGGGCCTTCTGTGAGCTGCAGGGGGCGGGGCCGGGCTGCCCGGCTAGTTATTTTTGCTCATAATGGGAGCACGACGTATGGAAATTATTAATAGCAGAGCGGCCTGTGCTACGTGCGGGCGCCCAGGGCCGCGCCGTTTCCTCTGCTGAGTCGGGGGAGGGTCATGCGCCCCGTGTAGGGCAGGCCGCCCAGCGTGCCCACTGCCCCATATGAGGGGCTGCCTGGGGGGGTGGGGGGATTCAGAGCCTCTTGCTCTGTGGCTCCTGGGGCAGCTCTCTGCATGCCCCCAATGCACGACCACGCTGGTCCCGCTGCCATGGACCTGGAGCGAGCCTGCCCCATCCGACGACTCCTAGTCACTGGGGCACGTGGTGTGGCTTGTGGAAAGGGTTCAGAGGCCTGAAGGAGCCCCGCGTGTCAGGGCCGCCGCAGTCCCTTGGGCCTCCCGGGCGCACAGAGTGCCCTCGCTGTGGGCACTGTGAATGGTGGGAGGGGATGCTCCCGGGAGGAGTGGGGCAGCAAGAGCAGACGTGGGGAGAGCGGTGTGCACCGTGTCCAGGCCCCATGGCTAGGTGATGGGGGCTTCTGTCCCTCCCTCTGCGTCCTCCACCCTCTCGTCAGCAAGCCAGGACCCAGGCCACCTGGCTCAGCTCGCACTTTGCGGCCCCGACCAGGCCGCACCCCAGTCTGGAGGGCACAGGGGTCGTTCCACCCACCCCACTGCGTGCGGGGCCTGGCTCAGCACAGGGGGGCTTGTAGGCCGGAGCACTGCCTGGTTTCCGGCCCCGTGGCTGTGCCTGCAGCGACTGGGCGGTGACGGGGTGGGAGTGGGGGCTGCAGAAGGGCGGGAGCCCCCACCTGTGGCACCGCCTGTCCCCCAGGCCCAGTGTCATCCGGTCCCTCTGTTTCCCAGGCCATCGTGCTGGGCGCAAAGCTGCGGCTGCAGGCAGATCTTGATGTTGAGAAGGTAAGGGTCATTCTCATGCAAACCGCGTAGCTTCCAGCTCCAGGGCTCCAGAAATGTGGTGTAGGGAGGGTCCCTCCCACTGAGCCCTGAGCTTTGCTCCCCACACGGCTGGGGCCAGGGCGCTGGAGGGCAGGGGTCACATGTGACTACCTGCTCATGTGAGGAGGGTCCAGGACTAGGGGAAGGGAGGGGCCCGCAAGGGCCTGTGTGTGGTCAGCAGGCATTGGTGTAACGTGCTCAGAAAGTGGCCGATCGCCAGGAGTTCACCAGGCATTCCTTCTCTGCTCTGGGGTGGCTGGAAGGGTTCTCAAGAATGGGGGCTCCCACAAGGACCGCCCACCTGGAGCCCTGGTTTGGCAGATGGGCCTCCGTCCAATCTGGGCTCCAGACAGCCTGCCCTATGTGACCGCCTGGGGGAGGGGAAGGCAGGTGAGGAGGGGTCTTCCACAGGGGCCACTGGGAGGGGGCTTTGTCGAGAGCTGGTTCTTTCAAGGGGAGTGGCCCGTATGTCCCAGTGCCCAACACCACGGCCAGGGGCTCCCTCGGGGCCTCCCTGAGGGCTCAGGCAGCTTGGGGGTCTTGTGAGCTTGCGCCAGGCCACGTGCTGGTGCCGTCTTGCCCGTGATGGGCATTTCTGGGCCAGCAGGGCCATGGCCGGTAGTTGATCTCCATCCTGCCCACCCCACCCTGCTCGGTGAAGACAAGGGGACAATGGGGCCCCTCCAGGAGCCCCCTTGTGTCTTGGAGCCTCTCATCCTTCCCGATGGAGATGGGGTGACCACAGAGCCCCCCAGGGACGGGGCCCAGGGAGCGGCGGGGCTTGTGTGTGTGTGCAGGGGCAGAGCATGGGACGCAGGCCGTGAGCAGGGCGTGGGGCTTCGCGAGGTCCTCAGACACTCGGTTGGGCCCCCAGGCTCCCCGGGGAGGCAGGTTGCGTGGACCAGCCTCCAGGCCGCTTGGTTCTGACGCTCTGGCCACTCCCTGCACTGGGCTGGAAGTGAGTCCGTGGTCTCGGGTGCAGTGGGGCTGCGGCCTGAAGGTGTGTCTCCCCGTAGATGTGCCTCCCCCTGCTCCTCCAGGACAAGGCAGACCTCGTGGAACGCTACGTGGATGGCTTTCCCGACCTCCAGCGGAGGCTGCTGGCCCTCATGGACTCCTGGTGCCAGCCCGGCTTTGACATCAGAGTCGTCGCCAGGTGAACCCCACGGGGGCCCGGGGTGGGGTGGGGGCAGGGACTTGGCAGGGGCAGTAGGCACGTGGGAAAGTCACCCCACACCCCACACCACCTCTCCAGGTGAGCCCCGGCCAGGTGGGCAAGGGACCTGCTTCGGGAGCCAAGAGGTCGGGCTGGCAGCCACCGGGTGAGAGAGTTTAATGCTCTGAGATGAGCACAAATAATTCTCCACAGGGACTCCTTCCTTACGCAGTCCTGCAAGTCATATCTCCTATCCATTCACTGGTTCCTTCGTTTCTTCCTTCATGTAATAAATGTTTGTGGAGCGCCTGCTGTGAACCCTGTCCCAGCAGTTACAGAGAAGAGGCAGCATGCCAACAGGGAGCCCACGTGTGTGCGTGTGCGTGTGACCCCAGGGCGTCCCCTGAGCATGGGCATCTGGAAGGAGAAGGGCTTCCTCCCACCTCCCTGGGGTGGCTGAGGGGAAGTGCACTGGGACTGCCAAGGCTCCTTGGCCACCTGTCCCTCAGCAGGCAGCGGGGCTGGGCGCCCTGTCCGTGTGCCCTGCAGCCCGGACCCTCTCACTTGAGAGTCAGGCCTTGGGCTCTGGCGGCAGGCCTCTCTGGACCCTCCCTCCCCTGGAGCTGGGTGTTTTCCTCGTCCCTAAAATGGGACTAATTCTGTCTCAAAGGGCTGTCGTGACTTCACACCCTACGAAGTGAACAAAGCAGCAGGCCAGGCACATGTTGTGTTGCTGCCATTGCTTTTATTATGCATTAAAAAGGAGAGAGAAATATAGGTGGAGCAGTACGGACGGGGAAGAGGGGAGACACACGGGTGGAGAGTGGGGGGGGGGCCGTGAGTTAGATTTAACGTGGATATTTCATGATTCTTTTAAATGTCCTCGTGCTGTGCTCTGAAAGGGCTCAGAAGCGATGACATCCCCTAGCAGTGAGCACACCTAGCAACCAGATCTTGGTTTCTAGATACCATTCTCCACTAAAAGGAACAAAGGCTCCTTGGGGAGTAGACTGAGAATGAAAACAATAATAGAGCATAAAAGCATGGTAATAGAGCATAATACCTTGGATTTTTAAAAATGCATGAGTTGGGGCTTCCCTGGTGGTGCAGTGGTTGAGAATCCGCCTGCTAATGCAGGGGACACGGGTTCAAGCCCTGGTCTGGGGGAATCCCACATGCCGCGGAGCAGCTGGGCCCGTGAGCCACAACTACTGAGCCTGCGCGTCTGGAGCCTGCGCTCCGCAATGGGAGGCCGCGACAGTGAGAGGCCCGCGCACCACGATGAAGAGTGGCCCCCACTCACCGCAACTGGAGAAAGCCCTCGCACAGAAACGAAGACCCAACACAGTCAAAAATAAATAAATTTATAAAAATGCATGAGTCTGTGGGACTTCCCTGGTGGCGCAGTGGTTAAGAATCCACCTGCCAATGCAGGGGACACGGGTTTGAGCCCTGGTCAGAGAAGATCCCACATGCCGCAGAGCAACTCAGCCCGTGCGCCACAACTACTGAGCCTGTGCTCCAGAGCCTGCGAGCCGCAACTACTGAGCCCGTGTGCCACCACTACTGAAGCCCACATGCCTAGAGCCCGTGCTCTGCAACAAGAGAAGCCCGTGCACCATAACGAAGAGTAGCCCCCGCTCGCTGCAACTAAAGAAAGCCTGTGTGCAGCAACGAAGACCCAGCGCAGCCAGAAACAAATAAATAAATATTTTTAAAATGCATGAGTCTGGAGTGATGCTCAAAGGCAGGGAGGAAAACTCTTTTACAGGGTGTGTCAGCTAGTAAATAGAAAGGAATGATGAAGTCAGAAATCACCGTTTTGTAACTTCCAATAAAACAATTGAGTTAGGCACAGACCATAAAGAGGTGCTAAGAGAGAAAGAGACAAATACAAACTACCCACGCCAGGGATGAGAAGCGGAGCGCCACTGCAGACCGCACAGACTTTAAAATGGTAAGAGACATTGTTTACAACTTGATGCAAATACATATAACAGTTTAGATGTAACAGACCAAATGCTTGCAAAACACAACTTACAAAACTGAAAAAATAGAAAATTTGAATAGTCCTGTATCTATTGAATAAATTGCATCTGTAGCTTAAAACTGCACCACAGAAAAAACTATGGGTTTAGATGGCTTCACTAGTGAATTCCTTCAAGTGTTTAAGGAAGAGATTGTACCAATCTCACACAAATTCTTCCAGAGAATGTAAAAAGAAAGAGCACATCCCAACTTTGTTTTCTTTTTTTTGGCTGCGTTGGGTCTTCGTTGCTGCGCGGGGGCTTTCTCTAGTTGCAGTGAGTGGGGGCTACTCTTCATTGCAGTGTGCAGGCTTCTCATTGCGGTGGCTTCTCTTATTGCAGAGCACAGGCTCTAGGCATGCGGGCTTCAGTAGTTGAGGCGCGTGGGCTCAGTGGTTGTGGCACATGGGCTCTAGGTGCGCAGGCTTCAGTGGTTGCAGCACGTGGGCTCAGTAGTTGCGGCTTGCGGGCTCTAGGGCGCAGGCTCAGTAGTTGTGGCACGCGGGCTTAGTTGCCCCGAGGCCTGTGGGATCTTCCCGGACCAGGGATGGAACACATGTCCCCTTCATTGGCAGGCGGATTCGTAACCGCTGGACCACCAGGGAAGTCCCCAACTTGTTTTATTCAGCTAGTTTAAGGCTTGATACCAAAACTCGAAAAAGACATTAGGAGAAAGGAAAATTAAAGTGCAGTGTATCTCATGAACATAGATGCAAAAATACTAAACGAAATATTAGCAATCAAATCAACTAATATATTAAAGAGTTAAGAAAATGAGAAGACAAGCTCCAAGTGCGAGAAAATATTAGCAAAGACACATCTGATAAAGGACTGTTATCCAAAACATAGAAAGTTACCTTAAAACTCAGCACTAGGAAAACAAACAACCATGGGCTTCCCTGGTGGCGCAGTGGTTAAGAATCTGCCTGCCAATGCAAGGGACACAGGTTTGAGCCCTGGTCCGGGAAGATCCCACGTGCTGCGGAGCAACTAAGCCCATGCACCACAACTACTGAGCCTGCGCTCTAGAGCCCGCGAGCCACAACTACTGAGCCCGTGAGCCACAACTACTGAAGTTGCACACGTAGAGCTTGCGCTCCACAACAAGAGAAACCACCCCAGTGAGCAGCCCGCGCACCGCAACAAAGAGTAGCCCCCATTCCCGGCAACTGGAGAAAGCCCGTGCGCAGTAACGAAGACCCAACGCAGACAAAAATAAATAAGTTAAATAAATAAATTTTTTTAGAAAAGAAAGAAAACCAACAACCTGATTTTAAAAACGGACCAAAGATCCAGATACCTCAGCAGAGAAGATACACGAATGACAGATAAGCACATGAGAGGATGCTCTACATCGTATGTCCTCGGGGAAATGCAAACTAAAACAACGAGCTATCATGACACCCCTATTAGAATGGACAGAATCCAGAACACTGACATCGCCAAATACTGGCGAGGATGTGAAGCAACAAGAACTCTCATCACTGCTGGTGGGAATACAAAGTGCTGCAGCCACTTTGAAGGACAGTCTAGTGCTTTCTTACAAAACTAAACACGTTCTTGCCATATGACCAAGCCATCGCGCCACTTGGTATTTACCCAAAGACATTGAAAACCTCTGTCCACACAAAAACCTGCACCTGAGTGTTTATAGCAGCTCTATTTATAGTTGCCGAAACTTGGAAGGAACCAAGATGTCCTCCAGTAGTTGGATGGATAAGTAAACTGTGGTCCATCCAGACAATGGAATATTATTCAGAGCTAGAAAGACATGAGCCATCAAGCCGTGAAAAGACAGGGAGGAAACTTAGATGCAAATTACAAAGTGAGAGAAGCCAATCTGAAAAGGCTACTGCTGTGAGATTCCAGCTATATGACATTCTGGAAAAGGCCAAGCTATAGAGACAATAAAAGGATCAGGGATTATGGGGAGGGAGGAACGAATAGGAGAGCACCGAGGATTCTTAGGGCAATGAAACTACTCTGTATGTCACTGTAATCGTGGGTACCTAGGCATTTGTCAAAGCGCATAGAATGTGCGACACCAAGAGTGACCCCAAGGTAAACCATGGACTGTGTGTGGGTGAGGATGACGTGTCCAGGTGGGTTGATCACTGTGACAAGTGGACCATCTGGTGGGGATGCTGACAGTGTGTGTCACGGTCTGCTCAGCTTTGCTGTGAACCTAAAACTGCCCTAAAAAAAGTAAAATCGATGTTTTCAAAAGTTTACACACCATGATCTAGTGGGATTTATTTAAGGAACGTGAGGTTGGTAAAACATTTAAAAATCCATCGGCATTCACCCTGTCAACAGATTAGATAACAAAACTATGTAAGCATCTCAACGTATATAAAAATTATAAAATTCAAACCTTATTTATGATAAAAACTCTCAGCAAACTACAGATATAAGGAAACTTCCTTTATCGGATAAAGGATAGTACTGAAAATAAAAAGAAAACTACAGCAAGCATCATTTTTCTGAGTTTTCTTCAAGTATGATTACTATATAATGAACTCTGTTCGGAGTGTGTAAGTTTGTAACTTTTGATGTATGTACGTGTCCACGAAACCATCACCACAGTCCAGGTGCTGAGCACACCCCCCTACCCCCCGCCACCCCCTGAGGACCGCTGATCTGCTCTGTGTTACTGTAGATTCCTTTTCATTTTCTAGTACATTATGTAAGCGGAGTTACGTCGTCTGGCTTCTGTCCCCAGCACAATCATTCTGAGATTCATCCACGTTATTTCATTTCTTAGTGCTGAGTGGTGTTGCCGCGTGTAGCTGCACCACGCTTTGCTTGTCCATTCACTCATCGATGGATATCTGGGTGTTTCCAGGTTTTGTCTGTTACACACACCGCTGCTGCGAACATTCGTGCCCAAGGCTTTGCGTGGACGTGTGTCTTCATTTCTCTTGGGTGAACACCCTGGAGTGTGATGCCTGGGCCATGTGATGCGTGTGGATTAATTTTTTGAGAAACCGTCAAACTGTTTTCCAGGGCGGCTGCACGTTTCCCATTCCCTCCAGCAGCAGGCGAGAATCGCCAGCCCCACATCCTCGCTGGCCCACGGCCTGGTCAGCCTGTAACGTCCGCGGTTCTAATGGGCGTGGAGTGGTATCTTTTTGTGCTTTTGATCTGCAGTCCCTAATGACTAAGGATGTAAAGTGTATTTTCATTTGCTTATTTGCCATCTGTGTGTCTTCTTTGGTGAATTAGCTGCTCCATCTTTTACACTTTACTAAAAAAAAAAATTTTATTTATTTAATTTGGTTGCACTGGTCTTATTTGTGGCAGGCGGGCTCCTTAGTTGTGGCATGCAAACTCTTAGTTGCGGCATGCATGTGGGATCTAGTTCCCTGACCAGGAATCGAACCCAGGCCCCCTGCATTGGGAGCTCACAGTTTAACCACTGCACCACCAGGGAAGTCCCTACACACTTTTTAATTAGGTTGACTGTTTTCATTACTGAGTTTTGAGAGATTTAGAAACATAATCTGGGTTAAAGGCCCTTAACAGACATATTATTTACAGACGTTTCACCCTGTGGTGCATCTTCTCATTCTTTTAATGATCTTTCAAAGAACAAAAGTTCTTAATTTGTTGAAGTCCAGTTTATAAATTAAAAAATTTTTGCATCATGCTTTTAGTATCATGGCTAAGAAATCTTTGCCTAACTCTAGGGCACAAACATTTTCTCCTGTTTACTTCTAGAAGTTTTATAATTTTAGGTTTTACATTTCAATCTATGGCCCATTTTTGGAGAATTTTCATATGGGGTGCTAGGTGTGGATTGAAGTTCTTTTTTTTTTTTTTAACAGCTGATGTCTAATTGTTCCAGCAGCATTTGTTGTAAAAGACTGTCCTTTCCCACAGAGTTGACTTTGTGCCTCTGTCAGGTGTCCATATATGTGTGGGTCTCTCTGTCCTCTTCTGCTCTGTCTGTGGCACGTGTTCTGACCGCCATAGCCTCACACCAAGTCCTGAGTCAGACAGGGTTAGCCCTCCAATGCTGTTCTTCTATGTCAAAGTTGTTTTTAATTATTCTGGGCCCTTTGCACTTGTATATGAATTTTAGAATCAGTTTGACGATTTCTATCCCCCAGAAAAGCCCCCTGAGCAGGGGAACACAGCCAGGGCTCTGAGACCTCTGGCCAGCCTATCTGGAGCTTAGAGGAAGCAGAAAATCACTTAAAAACAAACACGAAAGCTGTAGGCCTTTAGAGAGTTTCTGTGTCTGAAATAAACACCAGAGCTATACAGAGGGCGCCTTTGGAATACAGAACAGACTTGTCAGTTAAAAACGTGATGGCAGAATGAAAGTCTCAATAAAAGCTTTGGAAGATAAACTTGAAGATATCTTCCCAACGTCATAAAAAATAAATGAACAAAGGAGGAAAAGCAGAGGAAAGGTTTTTTTTTTTTAAATGGCAGATTCTGTCAAGAAGACCCAACATCCAAATAATGGGAATTCCAGAAAGAAAGAAGGGAAAACATGGAGGAGTTCACTCCAGACCCAGTCCTGGGTGGATGGAGAGAGACCCACACTGAGGACCAGGACCCTAAACCCTCAGAAAGAGCAGGAGTCAGACCGGTTCCAGGAGCAGTGCCGGCGCAGGCTTCAGCCCAGCCAGACGCAGTCCAGTGTGAGGCCTAGGGCACCGTCTCCAGGTCCACGCCTCGCCCCTGGGAGGCGCCTGCAGAGCCGCTTTGCCCTGGCCTAGGGACAGGAGAGGTGCAGGGCCACCAGGACGGTGATGGACAGGGCCTGGGAGCAGCCAGTGGCGGGGAGAGGGGCGCAGGGTGATGTGGGCTCTGTCCACAGGACAGGAGGCTAAGGAAGCAATCAGACCAGCAAGGATTAACCCGCAGAGAAGAGGAGGCTGTGGCTTAGCCGCCAGTCGTATTTGCACCATCGTGATATGGTCGAAGCTGCTTGTGCCCAATTAACTGGAACCGTGGGTGCTGTTGTTTGGGGAGAGGAGCCTTCTGTGGTGAGACATCGTACAAAACACCTAAAACTGAATCATCGAGAGGCCACAATACAAAGTGGTTCTTGGAAACATGGGGCAAATGTAGACCACCTCAAAACTGTCGTGCGGGTGACTGGCGGCAGGAGGGCCGTGCTGATGTGCTGCCTTTCTCTGAGCCTTGGAAGAAGACTTGGCTTTTGAACTGTGCACGTGTATGACATTGATGAAAGGTAGAATCTTGAGATGCGTTAATCGAGAGAAAGCGTTGCTGGGCACGAGCCGTGTCTCTCTCCTGCAGAAGGTACCCGCAGACGACCTTGAGGCTGGAGAGGCTGAGCCCCAGAGCGCTGGGTCGGCAGGTCCTGCGGCTGCTGGAGCAGCATGGCCTGGACCCTGGTGAGTGGGGCCCCCACGCCCTGCGCTGGGGCGGGTGCCAGGCTGGTGCCGCCAGGGGTTCAGGCGGACCGGGGTCTACCGACCCCCAGCTCCCTTCCCGTCTCCTCCCTGCTTCCCCTCAGCATCTGCCCACCTGGGGTGCCCCTGGGAGTCTGGGCCCCGTGGGTGAGGACCACCGAGGCCGCACCTACACCGTGCCCCCTGCCCCCTCCCCCTTGGTGCTCACGGGCACCCTCTCAGAGGAGCAGTCTTACTGACAGTGTTTTATAGCTTCACTGTGTGAGACTGTGGAAATCCTTCTCACTTCCTGGCCCGTGAGAGTGTTGATCAGGAACGGATGTGGAATTCTAACACATACTCTTTGTGCACCTGTTGGGCTGATGCTATGCTTTTCCCCTTTGGTCTGTCTGTGGGGTGGATTAGGTTGACTGACTATATAACGTTAAATGAATCTTGGATCCCTGCCATGGCCCCGTCTCTGCCGGGTTGTGTTGCCACTTACGTAGACTGCTAGGTCTCGTTTGCCAACTGAAGCTGGATTCAGACTTCGCCTTCCTGAAATGTCTGTTTCTGGCTTTGTGTACGAGGTTAAGCTGGCCTCTGAACACGCAGTGGATGATGGCCTGTCCTTTCTTTTCACTGAGGGTGTTTGTCTAAGATTGGAATTCTTTCTCCCTGAGAAGTTGAGGGGAAATGGCCTGTGAACCTGGATTGCTTTTCATTGTGGAAACATGACTATTGATTCGTCACTGTGGGTTTTTTTTTCAGGGAGTTTGTCGATTTCACTTAGGTTCCAAAGGTACTGTCATAAGGTATTCCTAAGACTCCTTCTTTTTTATGGCTGAGTAATGTTCCATTTTATATTTACACCTCAGCTTCTTTGTCCACTCATCTGTCGATGACACTCATGTGGTTTCTGTGTCCAGGCTGTTGTGGATAATGCTGCAGTGAATGTAGGGGTGCAGGTATCTCTTTGAGAGCGTGATTTCATAGACTCTGAATACCTACACAGAAGTGGAATTGCTGGATCGTACGGTAGTTCCAGTTTTAATTTTTTGAGGAACCTCTACAGTGTTTTCCAGAGTGGCTGCGATGATTTACGTTCCCACCAACAATGTCCTAAGGTTCCCTTTTCTCCACATCCTCGCCAGCATTTGTTATTTGTTGGTTTTTGGATGACGGCCATTCTGACAGGTGTGAGGTGATGTCTCATTGTGGTTTTGATTTGCATTTCCCTGATTAGTGATGTTGAGCATCTTTTCATGTGCCTGTTGGTCATCTGTGTGTCTTCTTTGGGAAAACATCTCTTCAGTTCCCCTGCCTATTTTTTTTTTTTTTTTTTTTGCGGTACGCGGGCCTCTTACTGTTGTGGCCTCTCCCGTTGCGGAGCACAGGCTCCGGATGCGCAGGCTCAGCGGCCATGGCTCACGGGCCCAGCCGCTCGCGGCATGTGGGATCCTCCCGGACCACGGCACGAACCTGTGTCCCCTGCATCGGCAGGCGGACTCTCAACCACTGCCACCAGGGAAGCCCTCCCCTGCCTACTTTTTAATTCAGATTATTTGGGGGTGTTTGCTACTAAGTTTTATGAGTTATTTACATATTTTGGATATTAACCCCTTATCTGTACGTGGTTTGGAAACATTTTCTCCCACTCCGAAGGTTGCCCTTTCATTTTGTTGATCGTTCCCTTGCTGTGCAGGTTTTGTTTGATGTCGCACATATGTTGATTTTTGCTTTCATTGCCCTGCTTTTGGTTTTTTGATCCTGTCTGTTGTATGCCCTGCTCATCCCACTAAACTGAATCTTTCCCTTCTTTCTTCTTGAATATATTCCCCAAGTTTCAATATGTATTATTTTTATTATTGTCCAGCTCAAGACACTTTAAATTTCTATTATAATTTTTTTTTTTTTTTTACCCATGAACTAACTAGAAGTATGTTTCATTGCTTCTTTTGTTTGTTTTCTTGGTTGTGCTGGCTCCTTAGTTGCTGCATATGGGCTCCTTAGTTGAGGCTCGAGAGCTCCTTAGTTGCGGCATGGCAGACTCCTTAGTTGTGGCATGCAAACTCTTAGTTGTGGCGGGCATGTGGGATCTAGTTCCCTGACCAGAGATCGAACCCTGGCCCCCTGCATTGGGGGTGAGGAGTCTTAACCACTGCACCACCGGGGAAGTCCCTAGAAGTGTGTTTTTAATTTCCAAGCTATGACATTTTTGGTTATCTTTCTGGTATGGTTTGTTAATCTCATTGTGATCAGGGACCATGCCTGGTATGATGTCAGTCCTTTGACTGGGTTGACATGTGTTGTTGGGAAGAGATCTAACTTCTCCCCTCTGAAAGTAATGTCTCTTTTTCTCTGGATACCTTTAGACTCTTCTCTTTGTCTTTGGTGTTCTGCAGTTTCACTGTGAGGAGCCTAGTTACAGATTTCTTTTTATTTGTCTTGCTTGGGATTTATTGGGCTTTTGAATCTGTGGATCGGTGTCTTCAATCTGCTCTGGAATCTTTTCGGTCATTACCTCTTTCGGATATTGTCTCCTTCCCCTGTCTTCCCTCTGTTCTCTTCCTGGGACTCTGAATGTATATTGAGTTCCCATATCTTCCATGTATTTTACCTTTCTTACATACTTTTCATCCCTTTTCTTCCGTGTTGTCTAATCCTGGTAACTGCTTCTGCTCTTTTTCACTTTACTAGTTCTCTCTTCATCTGTATCCAACGTACTATGAAATCCATCCACTATTTCTATTTCGATTGTTATGTTTTCAGCCCTAGAATTTATAGTTTGGTTCTTTTTCAGATCTGCTGTTTCCCTTTGTATGCCTTCCCATTGCCTGAAGACATTTCTGATTTTGTTTTTTCTGTCTCTGAGTACCGTGCTCCTGGCTGTGTTATGGTCTGTATCTAAACTTCAGCACTGTCTCTGGTCCTGGTCTGGTTTGTCTGCCTTGCTTACTTGCAGGCTAACTTTGCGCCTGCCAACCATGAGAAATCATCTGATGAAGCTGCCTGCCTCCAGAAAGGAATTTATATATTTATTTATTTTTGGCTGCGTTGGGTCTTCGTTGTTGCGCGCAGACTTTCTCTAGTTGCAGCAAGCCGGGGCTACTCTTCATTGCAGTGCGTGGGCTTCTTGTGGTGGCTTCTCTTGTTGCAGAGCACGGGGCTCTAGGTGCACGGGCTTCAGTAGTTGTGGTGCGCGGGCTGCAGTAGTTGTGGCACACAGGCTCTAGAGCGCAGGCTCAGTAGTTGTGGCACATGGGCTCAGTAGTTGTGGTGTGCAGACTCAGTAGTTGTGGCACACGGGCTTAGTTGCTCTGCAGCATGTGGGATCTTCCCGGATCAGGGCTTGAACCCGCGTCCCCTGCATCGGCAGGCGGATTCTTAACCACTGCGCCACCAGGGACATCCCCACTGACAGGTTTTGATTCAGCCCCTCTGGAGGCACCACATGCACAGAAGGGAGAAGCAGGAGGGGTGGGACCACCCAGGCCAGCGGCGCAGGTGCATCAGGGCCCTGGGAGCCAGGGCCACGGGCTGCACTGGCGGTGGGGGCGGGGGGTTGGCACTGCACCCGAGACACAGGAGCCCACCTCAGAGGCCTGGCTGGGCAGGAAGGAGCCAGCCCCCCTCAGGCTGCTGATTAAAACCCAGAGGGTGAGTTCTAGACTCAGGAGCTCTGAGGAAGGTCCCAGCGATGCAGACCGCTGGGGGGTGCTGGGCTCTGAGGGGCCTGGAAGACTGGACTGCGTCCACCGCCCTGCAGTTGGGGACCTGGCCCTGAGCTGAAGCCAAGCGAGTGGGCTGGAGGGACCCCTGACCCAGGCACAGGGGCCTCCAGGCTCACCTGCACACCTGCCCTGGGCACCAGTCAGGGAGCTCTGGGAGCGTTGCCCCGTGGGAACACGAGGTGGGGACATCCAGGCCCCGGCTGCCAGGGCCTCCCGCAAGGCTGGTGGTGGTTGGTTGAGGCAGGGCCCCGCCCACCCAGGACCAGGACGAGAGCCTCGAGGGCCAGGGAGGGAGGTGGGCAGGAGGCCCACAGAGCCAGGCATGATGGGAGGGCTGTGGCGGGGGCAGCTCACCATCCAGCAGCCCTGGCACACCTTCCTTTGACTTCAGGGGCCACGTCATGGCCGTGGTGGGCCAGGCCTGGCGCCAGAGCAGCCTTTGGCGGCCTCAGGCTGGCCTTAGCTGCGTGCTTCCCAGGACAGGGCGTGCCCGCCTGGGGAGGGTCCATCCCACCCGACAGGTCTCGGCCGGCCCGAGGCTGGAGCAGTTGAGTGCCCGGAGCCCGCGGGACAGGTGGGGCCTTCCCTGCTGATCGTGCGGAGGGCCAGGAGTGCGGACAGGAGGGCAGCGGCAGGTTCTTTCCGTGGGGCCTCGGCCGGCAGCCCTGCTGGGGAGATAGGTTCCACCAGGCCCCCTCCCGGGTATATGCGTTGCAAGGCCCCTTCTGTAGCCCCCCAGCTGGCTCCGGGGTCTGTCCCAGCCAGGAGGCCTCACGGTGGCAGGGCTGCCTCTTCTCAGTAGACCTGGCAGTTCCTAATTTCAGACAACACAGGCCAGCGTTTCCAACGTCCTAAAAACTGCCCCCCCCAGAGGGAGGGGCACCAACGCCCCCCATGGTCCTCGCTGGGCATCCGCCATTGCAGCGTGGGCCTCCACGTGGACTGACCCCATGCCCTCCTTGGGAGGACAGAGTCAGACACGATGCAGGGTAGGGCCCGCTCACCCCTCAGCCCTGAGCTCCCCCAGCCCGCCCTCCCCAGGCCTGGGTCCCGGTGGAGGCCCCAGTGTCTGGGCAGAGTCAGCAGGGCACGTTTGGGTTGCGTTTCCAGTTGGCAGCGTCTGGCAGGTGGCTGGGCCTGACCCATCTGCACCTTTTCCTTTATGTTTGGGTTTGGATGAACCATCAGCGCAGACTGCGGCCTGAGTGCCTTCTGTCGATGCGGTACTGTACCCATAGGATTTTGACAAAGTATCTCATTGGCAAAATGATGCACAGCATTGTAGAAATGTCAGGAAAGCTGGTGTCTGTCTGTCTCCATCCGAGCGAGACTTGCTTCTGCAGCAGCTTCGACACCTTTGTCTCTGTCCTGAGCGTCGCCTCCTGCCCTGAGTAACTTGTTCATCCGTCCCTCCCTCCCTGCTGCAGTCTCGTCCAGGCTCCCGAGCGGCCTGTGGGGCACGTCCGTGGATCTGGAGCCCTCTGGTCTTGCGTCCCTGCCTCGGCAGGAAGCGGGAGGGAAGGCTGAGGGGCAGCTGGCAGGACCTGGCCTCTGGGCAGCCCCGACCTCTGTGTGCTCGGACAGCGTCCTTGTAGCCAGGGTGCTCCCTGTGCTGGCTGTGCGGTCCTGGCTGGGGCGGCCGCGCCCCTCGAGAGCATGGGGTCCTGGCCAGGGTCCGGGGAAGGCCGGGCCCCCACTGGGAGGTGCGGGTGGGCAGGCTCTGTGGTCAGCATCCCCCCCGGACCACCAGGCTGCAAGGACAGCTGGCCCCAGGAGGGAGGAACAGCAGCGGGTGGTGGACAGCGGGTGGTGGACAAGCGGGTGAGTGGACAGTGGACAGCGGGTGAGTGGACAGTGGATGGTGGACAGCGGGTGAGTGGACAGCGGGTGCCCTTCCCAGGCCCCCCTGGGCTCTGAACAGAATATGAAGGTGAGGCCAACAGGTGAGCATAGTTTGTGAACACATGAGCAAGACCACCCCTTCCTTGAGAAACTCACGTTCTGGGGGGGGCCAGGAAGCAAAGGCACCAGCTGCCTGGAGACAAGGCAGGAAGACCCTGAGAGGTGGGCGTCCAGGAGACCCAAAGGGAGGATGGGCCCGGCAGGTGCGGGCGGAGGGCGCAAGGAGGGCTCTGGGGTGCTGCATGGGGGCGGGGCACCCTCCTTCAGGGCTGGGAGGGCCGCTCTGATGCAGGTGGAATGGAGGCTGCCCGTGGGGTGGGGCGGGGGGGTGGGCAGAGGGGAGGGGGAAGACAGGCAGAGCCACACAAGCCCCGACCCCTGCCCCATCCCGTACTCACTCCGTCCCAGCCCTGCCCAGAGCCCGCCCTCTCTTTCAGACCTGTGTCCCAACGTCATCACCCAGCAGCGCCTGGCCGCCCTGCGGTATCTGTGCTACAAGAGGCTGGTAGAGGTGTGTGGACTGGGGCCCGGGGTGGAGAGGGGCTCCAAGCGAGGCCCGCTGCTGTGCTCCTGGGGCTGCCGCTAGAAAGGCTTGCGCTGGTGTCCACTTTTGCAGAGAAGCGTATCTCGGGAGAGCTGGGCCGAGCATGTGCAGGTGAGTTCAGAGGGTCCCAGTGTGCAAGGACCGCCCCCCCACCGTGGGGCAGGGTCGGAGCGGCCGGGGGTCTAGGATCCTCCTTCACCACTTGTGAACAGAGCTCTCAGGCGCTGGATGAGGAGAGGTTCACCGAGAGGAAATTCTAGACCATCCTCAGGCGCCCTGCTTGCCATGGCGCTGGGCCCCGAGGCCTGGTGAGACTGAAGACCCCGAGAAAGAGGCAGGCGCCCCTTGGGGTGATGTGGGGACACGGAGGGCCGGACTGCGACCCCATGACAGTGTCGTCCTGCAGCCTCTGTCCTCAGGCCAGAGCTGGAGGTGGGGGTCATCGCAGGTATAGAGCTATCCCCAGCCCCAGGTGAATCGGCCTGGGAGAAGGGTGGGCTCTTGGGGGTCCCGGGTGCCGTGTGCACAGGAGCTCTGCAGTGGTCGGTGGAATGGGGGGGCCCCTCCCTCCTGAGCGCACGTGCAGGGCCTGGTGCCTGCGTGGCATCCAGTGGAGGGCAGTGCCGAGCCGCCCCCGGAGTGACCGGGCAGGGGTGGTGAGTCACCGGAGAGGAACGCGGACCCCCAGGCAAGGCCCGGAAGGCCGGTCCCTCCTGGGTGCCAAGGCCGAGCCGTCCGGAAGGGCAGCGGACATCCTGAAGAATGTGAGGGGCTTCCACGTATTGTCCACGTGGGAACCCGCGGCCTGCGGGAAACGGACGGCCTGAGGCTGCTGGGGACAGAGCCGTGTGGGGAGGTGGCCCCGCCTGCCGGCCAGCAGGGACTCCTCAGGAGGGTGGGGCCCACAGCGACCTGTGACCTCGCAGACACGGACACCCCACCCCCGTCGGGACCCTGTGGGCCACGTGGGCCTCTTGCGCCCACACCGGGCCTTGCCTCCCTGAGGGCACAGTGGGTGCAGGGTTGTTCCGTGGCCTCACCCTCCCCGGCACCGCGGCCGCCCAGAGGCAGGGGTGAGGAGGTGCAGAGGGGAGATGCTGGTGGTGAGGGCCGGGGCAGACCGTGCTCAGGGAGGCAGTGCGGGTCCCAGGCCCGGGAGCAGGCCGTTGAGCAGAGCCGCGGTGTTGGGCGGGGGCTCGTGCGTGCAGAGAAAGGCCGAGGCGGAGTGGGTAGCAAGACGGGCCGTGGGCTCAGGATGGCGACCCTTCCCTCTGACACGTCCAGGCCCCTCAGCACCTTGGCTCAAGCCAGCTCGGTCACCGTGGAGCCTCGGTCATGGGAACTGCTGGTCTTCAGAGGACAGCCACCTGCTTATGAAGGGCTCAGGGCGGGTCTGAGGAGGGGAGGTCAGGACGAGGTCTGAGTCGGGGTCAGGGCCGGGTCCGAGGGGTGGAGAGATCAGGGCTGGGTCTGGCGGGGCGGAGGGGTGTCCGAGGGGGGGATGCAGGGCCAGTCTGATGGGGGAGGTCAGGACGAAGGTCTGAGTCGGGGTCAGGGCCAGGTCTTAGGGGGAAGTTCAGGGCCGGGTCTGGCGGGGGTTGGGGTCTGAGGGGGGGATGCAGGGCCAGTCTGAGGGGCAGACCTGGGTCTGGGGGCTGCCTGGATGGGCCCGACCCCTTGGGGCAGACCAGGCGAGCAGCCCAAATCCCGTCCCCCAGGGCCTGGTCGGGCAGGACCAGTGGCTACAGGAGCAGCTGCTGCAGCTGCTGACATCTCACGACAACACGGCCCTGGTCGCCCAGTGTGCCCTGGACCTCTTGCTGCCCGAGGAGCGACTCCCGGCCTCGGTGGCCGCAGAGCTCCGCCAACTCAGGATCCAGGAGAGGTGAGCGTTCCCAGGCTCAGAGGCCCACAAGGAGGACGCCCTTGGGCCCCCGCCCTCGAAAGTGGCCATAAGTCATACGTGCTGGTGGTTTGGGAATTAGAAGCGCGGGAGAGCCGAGCAGGGGCGCAGGCAGAATGCAGACACACAGCAGGAGGCAGGCGGATCAGCCCCTTGGGTGCTAGCGAGACCCCATGGCCAGATCCCTCAGCCGGCCAGATACTCCCAGGGGCCTGAGGACCCGGCCGCCTGCAGTCTGCGAGGGCAGAGGCGTGGGGAGCAGACCGCGTAGACCCCAGCCCACGCGCGGGCCCTGAGCACTCCGCTGCCCCAGGGTCCAGGCCGGGCTGTGCTGTGGGGTGCCCTGGTGGGGGCGGTGCTGCAGCTCTGTTCCTCCCCAGGACGGCTGAGGCCCCTCTGGAGGACGGGAAGGACGATTACTACCAGCTGCCCATCCCCAGGGAGCACCTCCACTTCCTGGCCTCGTGGGAGGACCTGGCCAGGCACCAGGAGGAGCTCCTGCAGGTGGGTGCCTGACTCCCGCAGGCAGCGGCTTGGGGGGCTGCTCACCAAGGCCCCCTGGGGCTCTGTCCACACCGGGCGCTCTGGCTTAAGGACTCCGGGCCTGAGTCCTGAGCCCGGTGTGGACCTGAGCATCGGTGTGGCGCTCGACTCCTTGTGTGGGCACTCGCAGGGCCGGTCCAGCTCTCCCCACAGAGGCCGCCTCCCCTGGACATCAGCCCTCAGGCGGCCAGGCAGGTGGGCGTGTCCTCCTCCCGGTCTTTGGCTGTGCCGTTCACGCCAGCCCCTCTGTCTGCAGCCCGGCCAGGTGGTCGGCATGGACCTGGAGTGGAGGCCCTCGTTCGGAGCCGGGGGCCGGCCCCGGGCGTCGCTCATGCAGGTGGCCGTGGAGGGCCGCGTGTTCCTGCTGGACCTGCCCCGGCTCTCAAGTCCAGCAGGAGGGCAGGCGCCCCAGGCCTTCTTCCGGCTGGTGTCCCGGCTGCTCGCGGACCCCTCCATCACCAAGCTGGGTGAGCGCAGCCCCCGGCCCCGCGCCGCAGCCCTGCCTGCCCAGGGGAGGGTGTCAGGGTGAGGCCAGGGCCCCTTCCTTGGGTGCCCATCACAGCGACGGCCCCCGCCCACAGGTTATGGGTTGGCGGGGGACCTGCGGAGCTTGGGTGCCTCCTGCCCGGCCCTGGCCCAGGCCGAGAAGCAGCTGCGGGGCAGCGTGGACCTGCTGCAGGTGCACAGGCAGGTCAGCGCTGGGGGGATGCTGGGGGTGGGGGGCTCCCTGCTGTGCTGAGCCGCCTGCACAGCGATACCGGGGCAGGGGTCTCACCTCAGGCTGGCGGGGTGTCTGCGGGCCGGGACTCGGCCTCGGGCTCTCTATGCCTTCTGGGCTGGCCCCGGCCCTGCTCCCTGGCCAAGGTCACCAGGGACCCGGGACACAGGGTCCCCCAGGGAGGCCGTGTCACCACACGTCCCCACGCTTCCCCAGAACCAGCCCGGCTCTGCCTACCACCCCCCACCCCAGGAGCTCTCAGCACACACCCTTGGGGCTTAAGGCGTTGGCCCCAGAGCTGACCAGTGGGCGGGTAACCACGGCCCCGAGACCTTGACACAGCCTGCCTTGGCCACCAGCGCTCTTCTCCTGCGGCCCTGTCCTCCATGGAGGACACAGGGCCTGCCCCAGGGCTCCTCGTGGGGCAGCCAAGGCACGTGCGGTGGCCGTCCTCCCTCTGCGGCGGGCCCCTCACCCACAAGGGGTGCTGTCTTGCAGATGCGGGCAGCAGACAGGCCAGCCCCAGGTGTGGATGGGGCCGCAGGGCCGCGGGGCCTCAGCCTCCTGGTGCAGCAGGTGCTGGGCAAGCCCCTGGACAAAGTGCAGCAGCTTTCCAACTGGGACCGGCGGCCGCTGTGCGAGGGGCAGCTGGTCTACGCAGGTGGGCGCCCCCCGCACCCCTGCCCCGCACCCCCGATTGTCCCCACGCTGGAGGCTGAGGCTGACCTTGCCTGTCCCAGCCGCTGATGCCTACTGCCTGCTGGAGGTGTACTGGGCTCTGTGCAGAGAGCCTGCGCGCTTCCACCTGTCGGGGGACCTGGCCAGGAGCCTGAGGCGCGGTGAGAGAGCAGGGCCTGGGGAGCTGCCGCCCCTTCAGAAGGCCTCGACCTCACCCCAGCAGGTAGGCGAAGCCCGCCAGGACTCCTTTATCACAGTTCCTACGGGGAGATCCCTGTCCTTAGAACTGGGACCTTACAGGGTTGGAGACCGGTGTGGGTGTGGGGTGTCGGGGAGAGCCGTCCAGAGGGCTTGTGTCCCGCACGCTGGACCCTCTGCCGGGAAGGAAGGAGAGCAAAGCCGCGGGTTAGCTTCCTAAAGGAGGAGGGGTCTCAACGGTCTCCTGACACCAGGTCTGGCGTGCCCCCTGCCAACGCCTAGGGCAGCCTCTGGCCGTGTCCCCGTGTGCCCCAGGGACCCAGGCCCTGCTCCAGCGTGCACACGACCACCCCCCCAGGAGAGGTGTGCCGGCTCCCCTTGGGGCCCAGCTTCTCTGCTGTTTTCTGCACTGAGTACATGTTGCTCAGGACGAGCTGACCTCACGGCCCTTGGGACCCTCGCTCCCCACCGGGTCCAGGGTGGGCCAGACGGGCCACGGCTGCTGAGCGGGGCTGTGTTGCAGGTGCCCGCGGGTGAGGACGCGGCCCCCGAGGTCCCGGCCAGGGCCTTCCGCGTGGTGTGTGACAGCATGCTGCAGGGGCTGGCGCGGAGACTCCGCTGTCTGGGCATCGACGTGCTGGTGCTGGCCACGGGCGAGGACCACCGCAGGGCCGCCGAGGTGAGCAGGCCTCCCGCGTCCGCTGGCAGAGGGGGCAGTGTCTGGGGTGGCCGCAGGGCCCCAGCTGCATGGACCCCCGCGCCACTAGGGCAGAGGGCGGGGCCCCCTGGATGCCGGGGTGGAGACATTTATGGCTCCGGCACCTGTGGTCTGCAGGCCTGGAGCCCTTGAGGATCCTTTGGGGGGTGGCCTGACACAGGCAGACTCAGGGTAGTCCTGGCCCCCTCGCTGTCTTTTGGCCCCTGGAAACGCTGTGTGCCCGTGAGGCCCTCCCCTCCTCCGAGAAGCAGGTGCTCACAACACCGCTGGAGGCACGAACCCCCCAGGGCCCTGCAGAAACCCCAGCAGGGCTGTCAGAATGCAGGGGTTAGAACATGGCTGGTAAGCGTTTTCTACCAGGTTTCCTGAGATGTGATTTACGCACTGCACGTTTACAGTGTACAATTGTACGTTCCCAGAGTTGTGCAGCCATCGCCACAGTCGATCTTAAACCACTTTCTTCACCCGTGAAGTTGTCCCCCGCGCCCCCTCCCCAGCGCCTGGCAGCCTGGCTTCGGTCTCCGGGGAGCCGCCTGTTGCGGACACTGCATGTCAGTGGACTCGCGCACGCGGCCTTTCGGGCCTGGCTTCTTTCACAAGCGTGCTGTTTTCCGGGCTCAGCTATGTTGTAGCGTCTGTCAGCGCTTCACTCCTTTTTACCACCAAATAACGTTCCATCGGGTGGACCGCAGCGGATCCACCCACCCGGCCGCTGACAGACGCTCGGGCTGTTTCCACTCTCGTCTGCTGTGACTCGTGCAGCCGTGAAAGAGCGTAGAGGAGGCCGGGTCACAACGTGGGCTTTTAATATGTGGTTTCTTTTATTGGAACACATTCTTCTGGAAGGGGTCCCCAGGCTCACCAGGTGGGTGGCCGGAGCACAGAGCTGGCCAAGGACCCTGGGACTGCAGAGCTGTGGGGCGTCGTCAGCAGTGGCCCTTCCCTCCACACTCCGCACCGCCAGCCGGGTCCTCCCAGCAGCCCCCACCCCCAGTAATGAGGAAGCTGGGGCCGGAAGAGCAGAGGGGATCTGCCCGGGGCTGCAGGGGGAAGCCGGGAGCCTCCCGTGCCAGCCCCACGTCTGTGCGAGGATGTCCACTCTCCCCAGCCCTGGCCCCTCACAGCCGTCTCTTCCGGTCGCTTGGTCCTGGTGCCCAGGGGAGGAGGATGTGGTCGTGCCTAGGGTGGCTCTGGATGCCGTCCTTGTCGGAAACCCCTCTGTCCCCAACCAGGGTTGTTTCTAGCTTATGGGGGCAAGACTAGGACGGCCAGCCTGGCATCTCGAGGACCGCAGACCAGGCGTCAGTGGTCACGGGACCCAGGGAGGAGGGGCCTTCCCAACTGGCCCCGAGAGTACCCCGGTCTCAGCAGACGGAAGGCAGGGTTTGGCCCCTAGTCTGCACCCGCACTCCCACGTTACCCTCTGAAGTTTTACATGATGCGGCCCAAGGGAGTTGCAGGTGTGATTTACTTGTCAGCTGACCTCAAAGGGGCCGCCCCGGAGGGAGGACCTTGGATTATATGGGTGGAGCTAGTGTCATCACGTGAGCCCTTGACAGCAGAAACGGAAGGCAATCATCAGACTCAAAGCACAGGAAGGATTCGGTGTGGGCCGCAGGGCGAGGAGACGGACCTCCATCCAGCAGCCCCCGGGACTGGATCCTGCGGCACCGAAGGAGCCTGGAAGTGGGTTCGTCACCAGAGCCGGGCCGCCGGCACCGGAGCACCGGGGGTCCTGTGCGTGAGCCCCTGGGGCCCGCCCGCTCCCACCCCACAGAGCTGAGTGTGAGTTCATGCTCCAGTGGCTGTGGCCACGTTAGAAAATCAGTATATCTGGGAGCCAGGGGTGCAGCGTTGCTGTGATGATGCCTCAGACGCGGGAGATGGAGCAGCCGGAGAGGCTGGGGAAGTGCTGGGGTCGCGACGGCCCAGACGGAGCAGAGGGGGCAGCAGAGCAGGGGGTGGACTGGAGCCGGGGGTTCAGACCTCGGCACCTGGAACATCGCAGCCCGTGAGGCCACGGGCCCAGGGCCCTCCCAAGGGGTGTGAGAGGGGGACCGAGGTGCTTATTCCTGGGGTTGGAGCTGCAGCTCGAGCCCCTGCGTTACAGACGGACTTTACCCACGTCTCCCGTGAGGCTTTTAACTTGTCCCCTCAGCCTTGTGGTCAGAGGTCCCAGGGCCTCGTCCTCAGTGCCCACCCTGCGGGGGTGGGACGGTTTACTGCCACCCGCGAGCGGTGCTGGGGGCAGCATTCTGGGCCGGGGGCGACTGCGCACTTCTCACACCTGTGATGGTCTTGGGTGCTGCCGGAGCCCTGAGGGCATCTTGCGGAGAGGACGTCTCTAGCCGTGGGAGCTGCTGTGTCCCTTTGGCCGTTTACATTTTCTCTTCCATGGATCTTTCCCAATCACGCGTTTCCCGTCCAGACCCCCTGAGTGGATGAACTGGCTGTTCGGTATAGAAGGGCTGTACTGTGGGTTTTGACTCCTATGATGAGCGCTGTTAACACTCAAACATTTTTTAAAGAAAGGCAGCACTGCTGGTGAGGGAAGGGAGGAGGGTCCTGCCACGCGGGGCAGAGGCCCGGGCGCTGTATCCACGCTTGCGGGCAGTAGACGTTTCAAGGATGAGCCGGGGCGCCAGCCACGCCGCACTGAGGTGCACCCTGGGCCTCCTGCTGCTTGGGCTCAAGTGTGAGAGGACGGAGTCTGCTGAGCGAAGAGCCGTCGGCAAAGAAGAGCTGGGACGTGATGTCTGGGGAGGTTCTCAGCCCGTCTGGATGGAGGAAGATGCCAGCATTCAGTGGTGGCTTCCCCGGGCGTGGCCTGAGCAAAGCTGGGGGGCACATGGCCAGGCCGGGCAGCCACCCTGGCAGGAGCCAGACTGAGGAGCAAGTGCACGCACGGACAGTGGCGCAGAGTCTGCCCCGACGGAGCCCCCGCCGCCACGGGCGTCCTCGGCTGGCTCCTTGCAGGAGGTCTCTGTGTGCCTCCAGGCGGTCCTGCTGCTCTGGGGACCCCGACAGATAGACGTGGGGAGATAAGCGCGTCCAGAAGAGTCTCCAGGAAGTGATTTCTGAGCGGTTCTGGGGTCTCTGGGTCTGATCTGCTAATCTGGTAGACTTAGGGCACTGAGGACCGGTCTGCAGGGGTAAAGAGGCCACTGGTGGGCCATGCTGTGATGTGGCCAAGCTCCTCGGAACATGGCTGGGGTTCCCCGTGGAGGCCCTGCAGAAGGAGAGCCCAAGGGGCTGGCCAGTGGCCGGGAGGGCCCAGGAGGAAGCCCCTCAGTCCTGGGGCGGCGGTGCTGAGGCAGCTCAGAACCACACTCGGGGCTCCATCCCGTGAGCCGCTGGGTGACAACACACAGGTCACACTCGCGGTCGCTGCTTCACCGTCCATTCTGCCAGTCTCGTCGGCAGGAAGTCACATCTCGCTGCACTTTCGCTCGCCTTCCTCCGAATATCAGTGAAGCTGAGCATCCTTCCACACACTCGTTCGCTGCTTGTGCCCCTGTCCTGTGGGGTGCCCCGGGCAGAAAGTAGCAGGCCTGACCCTGGGCTGGGAAGGCCCGCTGGCACAGATGGTCCGGCCGGTAAACAGCTGATGGAAAACTTGCCCCAAATGGTGGGAGGGGCTCATTGTGCCCCAGCTGTCCAGACAGTGTGGTCTGCCTGGACGCCTGCTTCCCTTCCGGGTTGCAGAGGGTGCCTGGGTGACGGAACCGCAGCGCACACCACGGGTGCTGAGTCACCAATGCATCTGCCCGGTGACGCGTGTTGCGGTGGCCGGCGCAGGGGGGACGCAGCACAGGCCGACTCCACCAGGCAGGCTCCGGGGCTTGAGTGGTTTCCTCTGTGCTTCGCCCAGGTGCTTTCCGTAAGCTGGTTCTGCTTTCTGTCCTTCCCTGATGGTGTGCTGAGTCCTTCCAGCGAATCCCCGGACCTGGGGATGGTGTGGGGACCCTGCTGCCGCTCCGTCCTCCTCCCTGTGGCCTCAGTTCATCTTGGCATCTGCAGGGGGAGCCCCACCTCGCTCTCCCTCCGCCTCCACCTTCCCGTGGTGGTCTGGAAACAGCCCCTCCGTGGGCTTTGCTTGGATCTCGTTGACACTGTGAGCCAGGGTGGGGACAGTGACGTGTCATCACGTCGAGTCCTCTGTGCGTGAGTGTTGGTCTCGCTCTTCTGCGAGGGTCCCACGCACGTTTTGTAAGCTCTCCACGAAGCCCTGCCATGTCTGTGAGGTTGCACCCCAGGAACCTTCTGTTTTGTTGCCACGACGCGCGGTGCTGCTCGCTTTCCTGCGGATACACAGAACTGCGGTGGACCTTTAGTTCTTAGCTGGCCGAGCGTTGATCTTACATCTGGACACCTTGCAAAAGTCTCCTAAATTCTACTGAATCGACTCAGTTCTTGGGGTTCTCTTTGTGGACATATCTTCTGCAAACAGGTTGGTTTCATTCCTTCCTCTCCAGTCTGTATGGGTCTTCTTTCTTTCCCTTATCCTGTCCCAGTGGTCGAGGCCTCCAAGGTGGGGTTGACTAGGTGGTGACCGTGGCCGTCTGTCTCAGTTCTGACTTGACAGGGAATGTTTCTCCGTGAACCACGGTGGTTGCCAGGCCCCCACACCAGGCTGGGGAGGCTCCCCGGGTGCCATATCCGCTGCACGTTTCATCATGAAAGAAGCTGAATCCTACCTGATGCTTCCTCTGCAGCCATTGAGAGCATCCCTGTGACCTGTGCACGTGACGAACCTTTTCAGTCTGGACCCAGCCTAGCCAGCATGTCACGTGGCTGGGTCTGCCTCCAGGACCGTGTCTGACACAGAACTTGTCTTCCTCACCATCTTCTCTTCCACCTCATAAACAAGCTGGGAGTTTTTCCTCCTCTCTGCTTTCTGCTGCTTTGAGTAACATTTAGATTATCCTCTCAAACGTTGGCCGACTTCCCGCAAGGCCTCCTCAGCCTGGTGTTTCGGGGGGAGGCGTTTCCAGGAGTCTCTGATTCTTTCTTATTTAATAGTTTTAGGACTACTTAGTTGTCTGCATCTTCTTGAGTCACTTGGTAGTCCGTACCTCTTTCTGGATGTGCCCATTTCACAGAGTGTTCCACGTACGTGCTGGTGTCCGGCTCCGCTGTGAAAGCTCCGCGGTACCTGCAGGTGGTCAGCTTCATTCTGATTGCTGCTCACTCGTGCTCCCCCTCTTTCCTGATCGCACAGAGGTTTGTCAATTTACTAAGTCTTTTCAAATAACTAGCATTTGGCTTTGTTGATCCTTTCTATTTCATTCTTGTGTTTTTTGTCTCATTAATTTCTCTTCTTATCTTTACAGTTTCCTTCCTTTTGCTTGCTTGGGGTTATTTCCAAGTGGAGTGTTTAGCTCTTTAATTTTCAGCCTTTAAAATTTTATGATGTAAACATTCAAGGCAATAAATTTTTCTTGAAGTCCGTTTTCGCTGCATTCCATCCGTTTTGATCTGTAGTATTTTCATTACTTTTTCGTTCTAATAATTTTTGAGCGTCTGTTATAATTGCTTATTTGACTTGAGTTCTTTGAAAGGCTGTTTTTCACTTTCAGAAAGCTTGGGGTTTGGGAGCTTTTTAGTTATCTTTTAAAAATCCATTTCTCACCTATCTGAATGGTAGCCTGTATACTGCTGATTTAGGTATCTGTGAAGACTTGCTTCGTAGTCAAGCAGATGATCCTTTTTACAAATGTTCCACGTGGACTTTAAAAGGCCACAGTCTCCTCCAGCCATGTTCATTTCCCTCTCTTGCTCTCACACGCTCAGTAGGTCAAGCTTACTTAATGTTTGCTCAAGTCTTGCGTATCTTGTTTGGTTGTTTTTCTGCCTGCTTCTATCGAAGACCTCGACAGTGGGTTCACCAAGTTCTCCTTGTAGTCATGTCAGTATCTGCTTAATATGTTTTAAAGTTGTTGTTAGGTGCACGTGCATACAACTTTTAGAATTCTTATATCTTCCTGTTGAGTGAAATCTTTTACAATTATGAGGTGAACCTCTTTGGCTCTAGTACTGCTCTTTGCAGTAAAGTCTATTTGAACTAATATTAATACCATTTCTCCAGCATTCTTTGGTTAGTATTTGTATATCCTTTTCTCACCCTTTTGCTTTCAACCTTTCTTTGCTCTTATTAGGTGTATTACTGTACTTACAAACTGCTTCTAGATGGACTTTTAAAAATCTAGTCTGACAGTCTTTGCTTTTCAATTTAATCCAAACCAAGTTTAATCCATTTACATTTATTGTAATTACTGATATAATTTGTGTTTAGTTGTACTATATAACTTGTGCTTTCTATTTCTCCTACTTCTCCTGATCTTCTTTCCCTTTATTTCTTATGTTTTTTTGTCTTTTTCATCCTTGTTTCTATTTTTTTCCTCTATTACTTTGAAAGTTATAAATTCTATTTCTGTTCTTTTAGTGATGGGCCTAGAAATTTTAACATTTATTTGTGAGTTGACAATGTCTAAAGTTAAAGTTAATTCAGGGATTTTAGGTCAATTTAGCTTTCTTGCCTGCTTTCCGTTTTACCTGCTATTATTTTCCAGTATTTTTAACACATTGTGGTTTTTCTTGGTTCTAAAAATTAGATATCATTGAATCTGTTTTTTGTATTCTGTCCCTTTTCGAGTTTATGATGTATGGACATGCACATGCACTCCAAGAAAAAGCAGGCTCTTTTTCACTAAAAGAACTTCCTTTGCTATGACCTTTCATTGGGGCCATTTTCCCCTGAAAACTCTGTTTCCTCTGTCTTCTGAAAAAGAATGTTGCGGGGTTTATAGCTATAGCTTGACAGAACTCCGGCAAGGGTGCACTGTCTCTGGCACCCGTCGTTGCTGTGGGGCGTCTGCCTTCCGTTCTTGCCGCTCCTGGTTCTACTCTCGGCTGCCCTTTTGTTTGGGTCTTTCTTCATATTTACTTCAGTTGTGTGTGTTTGTTTTTAATTTTGCTTTTTTATTAATCACATAGGTATATATTTGTTACCACTACGAAGTAACCACTTGCTTATTGCTTTTTTTTAATTGTGGTAAAATATACACAGCATAAAATTGATCATTTTAACCGTATTTAAGTGTACAATTCAGTGGCATTAAGTGCATTCACAATGTGTGCAACCGTCACCACTGTCTATATCCAGAACTTTTTCATCATCTCAAACAAAAACTCTATATGCATTAAGCAATCATTCTCCTCTTCCCCCTCCCACAGCCCCTGGTAACTACTGTTTCACTTTCTGTCTCTGTGAATTTGACTCCTCTAGGGACCTCATGTAAGTGGAATCACATAATGTTTGTCCTTTTGTGTCTGGCTTATTTCAGTGAGCATAATGTCCTCAAAGTCCATCCATGCTGTAGCACATGTCAGCATTTGCTTCCTTTTTGAAGCTGAATAAATTCCATTGTACATTGTGTGTGTGTGTGTGTGTGTGTGTGTGTGTGTGTATTTGTTTTTGTCATCTGATGGTGGACACTTGGGTTGTTTCCACCTTTTTGGCTATTGTGAATAGTGCTACTCCTATGTACCTTGATGTACAAGCATCTGTTCAGGTTTCTGCTTTCAGTGCTTTTGGATCTATACCCAGAAGTGGAATTGCTGGATCATATGGTAATTCTGTGTTTAATTTTTTGAGAAACTGCAACACTGTTTCACACAGCAGCCACGCCATTTTACATTCCCACCGGCATCTCATGAGGGCTCCCAATCGCTGTACATCCTCATCAACACTTATTTTCCTTTATAAAAATAAAATAAAAGCGATCCTGATGGGTGTGAAGTGGTGTCTCCTTGTGGTTTGACTCGCGTTTCCCGGATGACATGATGTTGAGCATCTTTACATGTGCGTATTGGCCATTTGTGTGTCTTTGGAGAAACGTCTTTTCAGGTCCCTTCCTTGCCCTTTTTTTTTTTTTTTTTTTTTTTTTTTGCGGTACGCGGGCCTCTCACTGTCGTGGCCTCTCCCGTTGCGGAGCACAGACTCCGGACGCGCAGGCTCAGCGGCCGTGGCTCACGGGCCCAGCCGCTCGCGGCATGTGGGATCCTCCCGGACCGGGGCACGAACCCGCGTCCCCTGCATCGGCAGGCGGACTCTCTACCACTGCGCCACCAGGGAAGCCCACCCATCTGTTTTATGTTACAATTCACACACAGATATTTCAGAATAACAATGTTGATATTATCATCACCAACAATAGTATTACTGCCAGGTATTTTTCATTTTGGGTCTGTAGCCCTAGAGATACATGGTCGATTCACTGCGGCCTCGTGTCATCTGGAATGTTTCTGTCTTTGCAGTTCACTTGTTTCATCTTTGGGTTTTTAGAAATTGCTTTTTAAATTTAATTTTGTTTGCAATTCTGTGAAGCGTCTGCACGATTCTGAGACCAAATCTATAACAGGAGGGGATGCCCCGCCTCAGCCTGCGGGAATCTGGTGGCCACTCAGGTGCCAGGCGGAGACAGCTCTGGGGCATGGGGTGGGGGGCGGGGGCTGGCGAAAGGGGGGCAAAAGAAGCCCCGGCCCCAGGAGCTGGCCTGACACCCTCACCTGCCAGTTTTTCCTCCCGCCCAGGTTGCCAGGCAGGAGGGGAGGGTCATCCTGACCTCAGGGCTGCCGTACCACAAGGTGAGGACCCCACAGATGACTCACATCTGAGCCTCGACTTCCTGAGCCGCCCACACCTCAGGGTCTGCTTGTCGTGGGGCCAAGGGGAGGGGGGCTGAGCGGCACCACTGCCCCACCCTGGGCAGAGCGGAGGCTCTCGGCCTGGAGCTGGGAAGGCGGGGCCTGGGTGGGCTCTGGGTTCTGGCCCACCGCTCGACGGCTGCATGTGTCCACAGCTCCGGGCCCAGGTTGGGGCTGGGCGCTGCCTCTCGGTGGACTGCTCCCTCAAGGCCCGGCAGCAAGCCACAGCCGTGATCAGGCATTTCAACGTGCGTGTCACCCACTCGGACATCTTCAGCCGCTGCCAGGTGGGTGCTGCGTGCCCCTTGCTGGCCCTGGGCCAGTGTGGAAGCCCCAGGCTCTGACAGGCGAGGCCCGCGAGGCCCTGGCGGTGGCGGGATGGCCTTGATGTTTCTGCCCATGTGAGCAGTGGCCACTGCCTGGTCTGTGCGTTTTCTCCTCTCCGCCACCCCCAGACGCCCATGCCCAAGGCACGGGGGAGCTTGGCGGGGGTGGGGTGGGGGAGGGGCGGTCACTGTAGTCTGTGGCCAAGAGGTGGCAGAGCGTCGGGGCCCGCATGGCCAAGGTGGGCAGCTGAGAGTGAAAGGGCAGCTCAGGGCGAGTGTCCAAGCTCAGGGTTGGGAATGTCCTCCTGGCCCAGGGCTGGCCTCCCACTGGGCCTCTGGAGGGAATACAGGGAACCCACCAAAGTGCATCTGTCTGGGGCGGATCCCATTTTCCGAGGGCAAGGTCCAGAGCCATGGATTGCTGCTGGGTCCACCCTGACGGCTAGAAAGGTCTGGCTGAGGAAATCCCCAGGTCGGGGCAGCCGTACCCAAGGTTAAGATCCGTGAGGAGTCTGGGGACTGGGCGCCAGGGAGGGGGCACCCCTCCCCTCCCCTGCTGGCCTGGGTGCCCTGTCGTGAGCTGTGCAGCTGAGGGGAGGCAATGCGGCCTTTGGGCCCGGCCCTGCCGGGCTGGGGTATGGCTGCCCTCGGCGTTGGGGTCTGCACGGGTGCGGCAGGCAGGGAGGGCCGGGGCCGGTCCCCGTGCAGGGTGCTGGCTCTTCCCAGAATGTTCTGGAGTTCAGGCCATGACGATGTTGCATTGGGAGCGGCTCCCGAAGCCCAGCTGTTTGGTGACAGCTCAGCCTGGCTTCCCCCATCCGGGTACACGTGGAGGCCGGCGGGGCCCCGCACTTCTGCACAGTCCCCCAGGCCGGCGCCCAGCAGGTGGGAGGGAGGGAGGAGGGAGGGAAGCCCCTGTTTTCAGGTCCTTGGACCCCCACCGCCTGGCCTGGGGTGCAGTCTGTGCAGAAGCTGGGCCCCTGCCCTGCCAGGACGGACGGTGGCCAAGCCGGGCGGCGGGAAGTGCCTTCCCTTGGGCTGGAGCTCGGGAGGACGGGACCGGGTCCCTGCTCAAGGCTGCAAGTGTTGTAAAGACCCCAGGACGTCAGGCGAGGCCTGCGGGGGGGCATTTTCCTGAGCTTTTCAGAGCCTCTGCTGGTGTCTTCTTGAGAAAACGGAAATTGGGTAGCCAGGAGGAAAACGCCACTCGCGCCGCAGGCCACTGGCTGGGGGGTGCCTGAGCCTTCGGACCTGCGAGGGCCAGGCGCAGAGGGCGGCCGCTGCCCTTCGCGGGAAGAGCACCCAGGGCCCCGCTGCCCTCACCCCACGTGTGCCCTGCCTCTTGGCCCCGCCGCTGCCCTGCCCCGGCGTGGGCCCCGTAGGGGGGCGTGGAGCTGGTGCAAAGGCAAGAGACAGAGCCGCACTCTGGCGGGGCCAGCCAGTGCCCCCGGGAGACAGGAGACAGTCCCAAGGGGGCAGCGGGGCCCAGGGAGGCCGCAGCAGGCGGGACAGATTTGCAGCATTCTAACCGCAGGGCGGGGAGGCAGGAGACCTGGAGCAGGTGGTGCACCTGCCCATGTAAGGTGTGGGGCGGGGGGGCGGGGGGGCGCGCAAAGGCGAGGCACAGAAGATCCAGGATACGATTCACAGGCGCGGCTGGATCCTAGGTTTTAGGCTGAGCCCCTGGCCGGCGGCCCGGCAGGTGCTGGGTCTGGGCTCTCGGGAATCTGGTCTGGAGGGCGCGCCGGGGTACACCAAGCTCTTGGGGCGGGGGGAAGGGGCTTACTGCCCAGCTGGGGCCCTGCCCAGCGCTGTCCTCCTGTGGTAGATGTGCACACATTACACACGTGCCCAGCTGGTGAGGAGGACAGAGACAGGGTCCACGGCTCAGGGCCCAGAAGCAGAAGGTGGCCACACCAGTGGCCACACGGGGCTGCCGGGAGTGGGGCGGGGCGCCAGGCAGAGACCTGTGTGTGCGGCCACACGGGTGGCAGGTGGGAGCCTGGGTGTGAGGCTGGGCAGCAGCGCCCAGTGGGCCTTAGTCGGGAAGGGGGTCCCAGGGCCGGGGAGCCTCTGAGGCCTGTGGCTGTCCGGCAGCCTCCAGCGGGGCTCAGCTCCAGAGCGAGGCAGGTTGGGTGTGCCCCAGGGCAGGACCCTCCCTGGGTGGCAGACAGCTGTTTGGGGACATCTACATCTGTGCACAAGGACCCCAAAAGGCCGGCATGGCAGGGCCAGGCGGGCAGAGAAGGGGGTCCCTGAGAAGCTCGGATTTCTGCATTTGAGCCCAGCCTCGCTCACCACAGAAGCATCCGGGGCAGGGTGGGAGGACCCAGCTGGCTCTGGGTTAGTGGACTGGTTCCCACCGTGGTCTTCAGGCCGTGGAGCTGGTCACGATGAGCAGAGGAGTCTCACTGCCGACTTGCAGCAGTGTCTGCACCCGGGCTGGGCACCTCGGGCCATGCTCCCCCCCGCCTGCCCCCAGAGCCCCTCGGTCACGGTACTCGCGGCCTCCCCTCAGGAGCTCAGCCTGAGCAGCGGCCAGGAACGGCTGCCCGCCCAGCTCCAGAGCGATGCTGTCCTCGGGGCCGGCCCAGGGGAACCAGTGGCCCTCTCGCAGGTGGACCCCAAGAAGCCCAGAAAAGGGGCTGCACAGATGCCCCGAGGTGACGGCCTGAGGCCCAGTGACCAGGAGCTCCTTGCGGCTGCAGACCCTGCTCTGCACTGAGAGGCCTCGGCCAGGGCCAGGGTGGCTCCGAAGCCCATCTGGACATCAAAGGGCACTGGCCGCCGGCCAGCAGGGAGCAGCACGCTTAGGACTGACCCAGAGAGCGCCTCCGTGCTGTGCTCAGCCGGCAGGGTCCTGTCCTGCGCCCCCGAGGGCCCGAGCACCCTGGACGCTGGCTCAGAGCCTCTGCTGCCCCTGCCCGGGCCAGAGCTGGTCGCCTCCCTGGAGAGCTCCCGCCGCCAGGCTGAGTTTCCATTTTCTTTCCCTTCCTTCTGCTATTTTGGTGCTGTTCCCAGAGGGAAAACCCACTTGACACACGAAGCGTTCCCAGAGCCTGCCCGGCCACTCTCGGGGCTGCTCGTCGGGGTGCGAGGCCAGGGCAAGTGAGGCTGGAGGGACTGTGTGCCCGGCCACGTGGGGGAGGCCCCTGTCACAGGGAGGTGGCCCGCCCGCCCACCCCGGGGCCCAGTGGGCTAGGGGCAGTGGGTCTCTCGTAGAGGGCAGGGTCTTGGCCCACGAAGTTGGCGACTTGGGCCTGGGACTGTCCATCGGGAACGTCCGCCAAGAGGACATTCCCAGTGCTGTCCACCATGGGAAAGGATCTTATCAAAGAAATTTGAGTTTAAAAAAACCCTAAGCAGGAGCCCAGGCGTGGCCGGGCATAACGTCTATTTTTCTGTTCCTCCGGCCCCCTCTGCTGTGGTGCGGATTGGGCCGTGGCCCCAGTGACGTCAGCCCTTAGAAGTGGGCCCCAGGAGGGGAGAGGCCACTGCAGGATGACAGTCACCCCACCTCAGGGAGCTCTCAGCAGAGCCAGCTCAGGGGTCTCCAGGAAGGGGAGGGTGATGGGCGGGGAGCCTGCAGTTACGGGAGGCTGGGCCTCGGGGACAGGCTCACAGACCCCCCCCGGGAGACCCCAGGTCTGGGCAGGGGCCCTGAGAGGGTGGAGGAGGCCGCCCAGGCTGATCTCTGGCACGGGAACGGGTGTGGGCAGAGGGCTCTTGGGGCCTGGGCATGCGAGGGGAACCCCGGGCCAGTGGCCCCCCAGCGCACACACCCACAACTTGGGGGCCTGCAGTGGTGGGGGCCCCGGAGCCCTCCCAGACCCAGGGGCCGGCCGGGGCGCCCATGCCCAGCCTGTCCCCGAGCACGGAGACCCTCCCTATACCCTGATGGCCAACTGCAGATGCAGGAACAGACAGGAAGAGGCGCAGCGGCCACTGACCCCGCCCCTCCCCGGCCTTTGTGCTACGTGGCCCCCAGCCCCGTTCCCACACTCGGTGCCCCCAGGGTCACACAGGCACAGAGGCTGCAGAAGGAGCGGCCCCTACCCTGCACAGGCAGAGACCCCGGGCGGCTGGCTCCTGTCACAGGCCTCGGGGGTGGCGGGAGCTACCAGACAGGTTTCATCAGGGGTTGGGGCCCAGCACGCCCCAAGACTCAGGATGCCAGCCGGGTGTTGGCCCCGTCGGCAAGCTCAGCGTAGCCCCCCGGAGGTGACAGCAGGGTGGGCCCAGCTGATGGCCCCAGGAGGCCCTCCCCCCAGCCTGCAGGGCCTTCCTCTCGGTCCCACCCCTCCCCTCTGGGTCTCGTCCAGAGCCCAGCCTTGGTTCCCACCAGATGGCTCTTGGGGGAACTGAGGACCTGGATCGCACGGGCCTGGGGACCCCTGCTCCCGGTGGCCCACTTCTTTAGGAAGGATCCTGGGCTGGTGTGAACTGAGGACCTGGATCGCACGGACGCAGGGCTGCCTGGTCACCAGCCGTCTGGTAGTCTGCCACCATGCCTGCCCCACGTGGGACTCTCATCCCCCCGCAGGGCGACCAGGGGCCCCCATGCGGTCCGAGATGTGTGCTGAGGCCCTGGGAACAGCCTGGGCCAGGGGACCTGCTGGTCAGCGCCCGGGGAGGTCGGGTGTGCGAGTCCCCAGCCCAGCTCCCGCCAGGCGCCCATCCAGGCACCCGGCTCCTTGCTCCTTTTGTGTCTGTCTGCGGGGAAGGTGCCCCGGGGCCCGGCGGTCAGGGCCACTCCCCTCTGGACCCTGGTCCTCACCGTGTGCTTCTAAGAGGTGCTCCCATGTGCAGTCTGGGGCCCCCCAGGATGTACCTCCTGGATGTTGACGGATGTTCACTTTTTAAAAGGGCCGAGATGCTTCAAGTCAGAACGCAGAGGACGCAGACTCGCCTGACAGAGGACAGGCGTGTAGCCCAGACAGGTCACAGTGCAGGGTGGGACG